AATTTAAACAAAACAAGAAAGAGAAAAGGATTTGAAAGAAAGTGACAAATATTGAAAATGGGCAAAAACAATCCCACATATGGATAATCGAAGGTCCTGAAGAAGAAAGCCCACGCAAGGAACAGCACAAATACTGAAAACTGTAATTCAAGAAAACTGCGCTAAAGTTAAAAAAAATAATAACAAGAAGAAACTACTTATGCAAAGAGCAAACCACAGGCCTGAAACTAGGACCGGGAACAACCAACACTGAGACGTGTTTGAGTAACATCAAAGGAAAGAAAATGTGGGCATCGAGGCAAAAAGAACATGTGACTTACAAGGGAAGAAAATTAGATCATCAGCAGATATTTCACGGCAGTAGCTTAATGCTGGAAAAAGAATGAGTAACATATTTAAGATACTCAAGAAAAAAAATGTGAGCTGAGGATTTTACATCCAGTAAAACTGAAGTTCAGGTGGAAGGGGCGTGGACAAGCTGTCGTCAACCTGCAGGAAGTCAGGGGACGTTGTTCCGTGATCACGTCCAGGGGCCTGTTGAGAGGGGGCCTCAGACCGCCAGGCCACTAGAGTGACGTCGAAGGTGGGGTGACTCTGTGAATGAGACCTCACTGGTGGGGAGGCCCTAGGAGGCACCCACGACCTGGGCTTAGTGGTGGCCTGGTAGGATTTGTCTGAGCAAATTCATTGGGAAAATGATATACTTTAGAATGCCGCAGGAAAAGAACTAAATGAGAGAACAGAGGGAGACAACATGATACGTGATGGCTGTGTGAGCAGAGGGAGAGAACATGGTGCATGATGGCCGTGTGAGCAGACCGTGCACACATGGCATAACATGACCAACAGAACAGAGGAACGTGAAAGCCAACCATTTTCAGGAATCGTGATCAGTGGGGACAGAATTGATACTATAACCGTTGTATTTTAAAACTGTCGTACGTCTACCGTGGATAGAAGTCAGTAATTATGGATGTTCTAATTCTGTCGTCTTCTGTCTCCTTGAGAACAAGGACTCTCAGTGTGAAAGGATGGAGATCAGAAGTGACGTGGGGAAGCTGAACAGAAGCCGTACTTTCAACTGTAAGCTGTACATGTCAATAGGAACTTACACTGTTTAGCTTATATGCTTAATGATGGAAGCTGTATGTCTGTCCCCTGGAAAGGCCTTACGGCTGTGACCAACCCTGGAGCAGCGAGCAGCCCTCGGGTCCTGATTAATCTTGAAAGATCATTTCCCCTTAAAAGAGACCAGGGCGACTGGAGAACAGTTGGGGCAGGAAATGAGCACAAAGAGCCTGGAATATCTTGACTCACCAGAGAGCACGGGAGCCTGCTAGGGTCACGTCACATTCAAAGGATTCAGGGCCACCTGGAAGACGTTCCCACCAGCCACAAATGGACCCTCTCAGCCCCGCGAAGACTGACGAGTTGAAGCCATCAGCTGTGTTAAATCCACATGTTCCTAACGAAACAGTTAACAGGTTCCCTTCTGAGGCTGGCAAGGAAGGCGTTCATACCTTGAAACCTGGGGAATTTAAAAGAAGGAATCAAGCGTCTATCCCACTATTCCCCTGGGCACCAACAGAAGCATCCGCCCTAAGTTGAGACACTCCTCAGACCCATGACGCCTGAGAAGGCGAGAAGGCGAGAAGGCAGAGCGGTCGCAGGCCACATCAGCCAGCACCCTGGTGTTAGGAAGGTCCTGGGAGGCTGTGGGTGTCCATGAAGGAGACAGTTGTGGGATCTCAGGGAAACATCCCAAAAGCTTCTTTGGCAGAACAATTTTTTTAACAAGTTGTTATGAAGCTGGTGTGTCCCTAAAAAGATCTGAGTCATGTGGCGCTATTTTGGCTGGGCTGTTTAGGTTACTTAATTCACTCTTTTCAGTGCTCTTTCTGGGAGGGGAGCCTTTGATCCACCCCCAACATGTTGTTTTGAGACCTCTGGCTGTCTCTACTCCACCCACTTTCTCCCCCTCCTGCCAGCTGAAGCCCGCACTCCCCAGTGTCCTGGTCCACGAGCACGTCCCTTCCATCCATCAGTCTCCATGGTACCAGGGAGCTTGGCAGTTCACGGTCCACTTAGAGGATGGAGCTTCAGAGAAAAGCCCGCTGCTGGAGATGAGTGTTGAGGGACGGCAGAGATGGGAGCCCCGTGCATTTATGGAACGCCTTTTAGCCAACCTCCCAGGGAGCCAAAGGGACTGCGTCTTCATCTTCAGCACGTTTTGCTCAGAATCGCAGGTGAGCAAGGCAGCCTAACAACGATGCTTCGGTGCAGGAAGTGTCTCCTGGGAACCTCACGTGTCTTGCCTGTTCCTCTTTCACTCAGTTGCCAAATCCCTTCCCATCCAGCTTGCGTAACCGAGGCAGCCTTCGTGGAGGATGCAGGATCCGAGGGGAGCCCCGCTGCACCGTTTGCGCCGACAGAAGCCAATTGCTCCAACCAGCTGATGGCACATTGGAGGCCATGCTGGGACCAGGGACGGAGGGAGGGAGGGAGGGTGGGCGTGTTGGTTTGATTCTTGACGGGCTTTTCCCACGTGTCTGGTATTGACTCTGGCAGAGTCACGGGCATTGGACTGAAGGGTAACCGTGAGCAAGTGTGTTATCACTCAGAACTGGTTGGATCGGAGCGAGGATTCAGCCCCATCTGACCTTGAACTCTTCCGCAGATACTCTTTCCTCCTCTGCTCTCCTTCCCTGCTCCAAAAAAGATCTGCTCTGTGACACAGGCTGCATCTCTTTTCTTTTGTCTGCTCATTGCCATCCAAGAAGTTTTCACGGAGATGAACGTCACCTCCTCTACGTGAGGGAAGGAGAGCTGGGCTCTGGATCGGCAGGTGCAGGCCGCACCTCTGGCTCCGCCACGTCCACCTGCTGCGCCCGACCCTCAGCGTCCACACCTCACGGTGGGGACAGTAGTGCCTTCCCCCAGAGCATGTTCTGAAATGGCACCAGTGGACTCCCCTAGAGAGTAGAGGATTATTAATTGTCACCCCCACGTGACTGGGAAACACTGTCAAAAATCTTGCTTTTTGCTGTCTTGAACTCAATTTCTACTGGAAAAAAGGGTGATTCATCTTAAATGGAAGATGGATAAATATCTTTCTGCTTTAGGCCTTTAGCAACAATTCAGTTCGCCAGCCAGAAACCCAAACAGCTGGACTGATGGTCACTCTACCCCATGTGCTGCTGGGGAAGTGTCAGGGGCCCTGGGAGAGTCTAAGAGAGAAGCACAGCTATTAGGATTTCTTCAGGCGTCCTGGGGTCTGAGCCATCCTAAGGGAAGACTCGGGGTGGGATCCCACCAGACAATAGGACTGCTGGTCGGCGAGCACCAGCTGAGCGAGTCAGTGTCACACGTCCGTCCTAGTGGGGAAATAAGAGCGGACAAGGCTGACATGGCTGCCGTGTCCTCTCCCAGGGGGATCTGCTCTGGCACAGTCAGAGAGAGATGGCTGAGACACTTTTGGGGAGTGATAATTGCTGAGAAGAAAGTGACACAACGTACTAGGGGTGGGCGCTGTGGCAGGCTGGGCGCAAGAGCTTCTGACCGCGGGCGGCTTCAGAGGCTGCTGGCCAAGGTTGCAGGAGGGCACTGGGGGCAGCGGGAGTGGCCCTGAGGAGGGGGGAAGCGGGCCTGGCTGGGGCAGAGTGAGCGAGGAGGGTGGAGGGCAGGCGTGTCCAGGGTTTGTGGGATCAGAGCTTACACAGCTCTGCGGGGAAGAACCCCAGACTTCGAGGGGTGCCAGGCCCGTGGAGCGTGGCTGAAACTCTGGCTTGTTCTCCCGTGAGGACCCGCCCCTGGAGGCAGCTCAAAGATGCATGGATGATGCCCTCCTCCTCGGCTGTGAGAGAGCGCCACATTTATACTAAATGCACTGGCAGCCGGGGAAGAGGCTTACGCAGGGACCCAAGCGATGAGCTCTCTCCATGGAGAGTGGGAGCCGGGGAGGTGTCAGGAGGCGGTGCCGGGGGAGCAGGGAGGTGGATAGACTCGGGGTGCACTCTGAGGTGGGGTTGGCAGGATTTGCTGATGGTTTGGGGTGGGACGGGAGGGAAGGACGGGATCTGAGGACCATGGCCCCACGCAAGGTGCCATGAACTGAGGATGGAGACCTCGGAGCTGGGGGGCAACGGAACGCCTGTTTGGACACATTAAATGTGGGGTGTCTGTCAGTGGCTGCTTTTCTCTGGGCCCGGCAGGAAGCAGATGGCACCCGAGGTGTGCCTGGAGGGAGGCAGTGAGGGGCTGAACTCGGTGCGCCTGCAGTGGGCCCTCTCCTGACTGTAGGCCCAGGGCGGATCTGGATTCCAGCCATTCTTTCATTCCATAAATAGATTTTGAGCATCGGCTTTGTGCCAGATGGCAGGTAGTGTGGTCATTTAGCCAAGGTCGAAGCTTCTAGATGAAAATAAAACATCCAGTAAAAAAACCTGAGTGTTTCCAAAAATCCAGGTATCAGACATCTTCCACACAGACGCTCAGCTGCTAGATGGGTTTGCCCATTTGCCAAGAATGTCACAGAAGGTAAGCGTGGCACCCCTCGTTATTTGGGCCGAAGGGGGTGGGGCCAAAGCGGCTGGAGGGCAGGAGCCTGGGCCCCTACAGGGCTGTGCCGAGAGCATCCCACCCGCTCTCCTGGAAGATTCATTTCAGAGCTGATGGTTTTGCCCTCCTCTGCACGGCCTGTTCCCAGATGAAGCAGCCAAGCAGATTTCTGTGGACTGTGTGTCTATGGTCTTACTTTCCAGGCTAGCAGCGCTTCCAGCCTCGAGTTCCCCTGCGGACACCTTTGGGTGCATATTCACACTGTCCACCCATAAGTGTTGATTCCATTTTCAACCCCCATTTTAAGGAGACATTCTTGAATGGAAGATAGCACTCAAGTTTGAAAAAAACAAAAACAAAACTTTCTAAAATTTGTGATCAGGTTTCAGAAAATGCAGAGGTCAGTTCCCAAACAGCACAAAGGTCCTGCTATTGTCTTTCAGGTCAGCAGAGTGGAGAGGGAGAAGAACCAGGAGCTGAAGCAGGTGCGGGAGCATGAGCAGCACAAGAATGCCGTGCTGCTCACGGAGCTCAAGACCAAGCTGCACGAGGAGAAGATGAAGGAGCTGCAGGCCGTGCGTGAGACGCTGCTGCGGCAGCACGAGGCAGAGCTGCTGAGGGTCATCAAGATCAAGGACAACGAGAACCAGCGGCTGCAGGCGCTGCTGCACGGCCTGCGTGATGGCGCCCCCGACAAGGTCAAGACCGTGCTGCTGTCCGAGGCGAAGGAGGAGGCCAAGAAGGGGTTTGAGGTGGAGAAGATAAAAATGCAGCAGGAGATCTCTGAGCTCAAGGGAGCCAAGAAGCAGGTGGAGGAGGCGCTGACGCTGGCGATCCAGGCCGACAAGGTCAAGGCCGCGGAAATCAGGAGTGTGTACCACCTGCACCAGGAGGAGATCTCCCGCATCAAGAAGGAGTGCGAACGGGAGATCCGCAGGCTGGTACGTGGTGTGGGGCGTGGAGGTGGCGGGGGGCGGCGTGGGGGCAGCTCTTCTGCTTGGGTCTCGGGCCTGTTTCATCAGCAAAGCGCACCTCACATCATCTCTGTTGGTTCTGAGGACTGCAGGGATGCAAGCCTGTTAAAAGGATATGGTTCAGAACGCACACGGTCAGGCACGCACAGGGCAGGCTCAGCTCCAGCCCTCTGCCCCACCCCTACCAGCCACACCAGCTTTACTTGTCATTTCTAGTTTGGGTCAGAGCAAGACATCTTCAAGTTAATGTTCCCCCTTCCCCTCAAAAGGGTTTACTAAAGGATCGCTCTTCTTAGAGTGCTAGGTTAAGCTCGGAGCCAAGGAGGGACCAAGGTTTAGTTATGGCATGCTCCATAAATAGCAGGTTCTGCAGTCTGTCCAGCTCACTGGATCCAGAGAGACAAGGCCAGAAGGCCCACAGTGGGATGGTCATGGGTCCCAGAGGCCTTCCTGACATTCCTGTGCTGTGAGCACTATCTGGGATAGCATTGCTCTTAGGCTGGACCATCTGAAGTTGCCATCTTTGCAGGTCAGGAAGGGTCAAAAGTTGGCAGCTTCATCTGGTGCACCCTAATGGTTCCAGAGACCAGGCATCCCGTGGCAGACACGGGTAGAGTCAGTGTTCTCAGAACCCCAGTGCTAGAAGTTGAAGAGAATATTCAATTTCTTAGAAGGATTGCTCCTCGTTCTCCTCATCACTTGGAGCCTGGTCCTTCTTGGTAATTTGAGGGACGTGAGCTCTGCCTTAGAAGTGTGCTCCATGCCCCCTGCTGTAGGCTTCATCAGGACTCAGCTAGCTTTGCTGCTGGCCATACTCGGGGTCCCCAGGATGCCCCTCAATGGGGTGCAGCCAGCTTTCCAACCAGCACAGCTGTATACCCAGGCCGCCTCTCTCTGCTTCCCTGGGACCCTGTTTTCCAAAGTGCCTCCAGGCTGTACCCCATGTTGAACTTCCCAGAAAGGGTGCCATCATTCTAGACCCACAGCCCAGAAGGGAAATGGAGAGCTGTGGAGCAAATACAACTTTGCCATGGTGTGCATTGGGGGCCCTCAAATGTTCCCAACCTGGAGGGTCCCCTGTCCTTTTCCAGGGTGTCCTGTTCTGAGCTCCCCCATACAACTCTCCGTCCATCCCTGAGCCATGTGCTGGCACCACGTCAGCACCCGCTGCCTGGGTCCACACGACCCTGCTTCTGTCTTTGGATTCAGTGCTCGCAGTGGAGGCAGGTGGCCTTATCTCTGTGACCAAAGGCTTAAAACAAAACCAGCGGTTCCCTCTGGTCCTCCCGCTTCCCTGACTTGGACTCCCCAGAGGCAACAACCTGCAACTCTTCTAGCTGACTCTTATGGATTTTATTCCAAATTCTCAAAAACATGCTCAAACATCTACTTCTTGATTTCTCAATTTTAGCTCCTCCTCTGCTCTCCCATGGCCTTCTGCCCTGCCCCCCACTCCGGCCACCCCCTAAATTCCATTGGCCAGGTCTCAGCAGGAGCAGATGATGCGCCCAAAACAGGTAACAGAAGAGACTTCAGTGAAGGGGCAGTTCACAAAGGTGCGGGCAGAGACCCACTGTGGGTGGTGACCGCAGCCGGGGTGAGCCATGGCCCGAGGGAAGAGGACAGCGTGAGGGCTGCAGCTGTGGCAAGGGCTATGGGACAGGAGCGTGGGCTCAGCCCAACCAGGGAGCCAAAGCTAGCAAATACCCAGACCTCCCACCCTCCCACCTCTGCTTTTCATGCTCCTGTTGGCCAAACACAACCAGAGGTCAGGAGGTAGGAGCACAGGGCCAACCTCCTGGGCACAGAGCCGAGGGAGGGGGTGGGCAGTGGATCTAGGGGGGCATAGAGAAAGGCTGTCACTGTCACTTGTCCTTGGGACTTCATCTTGAGTTACGTGGATATTTGCTGTCTGTATCTTTACTGCACTGTTATTGCTACTTCTGTCATTCATGAAAGACCCAAGTGACTCACAATTACATTACCTTTCTTGCATGCACTTTTGTTTTCCTTGGAATTAATTTTTTCATTTGCTTAATTTTCTAAGTGAATGTCACTAATTCACGCTGAGTTTACAACGGGAGGGTAAATCTCCTCTCAATACTGTCAAAAACCTTAGACATCCATCCGCGTACCTTTCTTTGAGACGTCCTTCCTGGAGCGCCCTCTCCTCCTGTCTCCACCTCCACTGTTTTCTCCCTAAGCCTGCCCTTGTCCTGATTCCCTTTGTCCACATCCTGGGAACGCCTTCTATCCCTCCGGTGTCAGATCCCTCCCTCCCGTATCTTCCTCTGTTTTGATGTATACGTCTCATCTTGGTGGAATATGTCCTCTAACAGCTTCTGGGAACAGAGAGGATGGGGAATAAGTCCTGTGAGACCTCGTGTGGATGAGCTTCTTGCTCTAACCTCACACTTGGTGTTCTGGCTGGCTATGGAGCTATAGGTCGGAAACTAATTCCATCAGGAACGTGACGGTATTTCTGCATTGTCTTCTAACTCCCTGGGTGGCTGTTAAGAAGTTGGATGCCATGCTGATTCCTGATCCCGCATTTGGCCCTGTTTCTCTTCCCGCCCACCACCAGAAGTTATAGGGTCTTCTCCTAGAGCTCAGAGCATCCTGAGGTCTTATGGCGGAGCACCTGTAATGTGAGTGTATGTTCCTGTCAGGAGCCCTTTCTAACCAGAAGTCCGTGTCCCTATGCTCCAGAAAGGTTTGCTCTGTTGTTTCTGTCATTTTCCTCCCTCTCTTCCTTCCAGAACTCCTGTTAGTTAGGTGGTGGACTTTGGAACTGATACTCTTATTTTCTTATTTTTCTCTCCAACCTTGGCTTTTCGTTCCCCTTTCTAGGAAACGTCCTCAATTTTCTCTTCCAACTCTTCTGTTTGATTTTTTATTTATACTATCATACATTTCATTCTCAAAAATGTTTATTCTCTGAAATAAAATCCTTTTGGGATTCGCCTCTCACTCATAGATGTGATCGCATAGGTGTGACCGCATTTCTCTGAGAGTAAGAATTATAATTGGCTGTTTGAAAAAAGTCTTCTTGGGTTCCTCTCATTGTCCATATTCCTTCAGGGGCCCTTTTTGCTTCTTATTCGTGCTGGCTGCTGCCGCTCACGTTGAAGGGTTTCCTTGAGTGAACGGGGACCCCTCACGTCCTGGCAGGGACCTGACAGGAGGCCCGGTGTGCTAAGCGGGGTCTTCCCTTTAAGGTGAACTGGAAGAAGTGCTGCCACTCTGTTGGGGACTTTTTCCTTTTATCTTTTTTTGTCTTTTCCCATCAAAGAATTCAATTCAGCATGCTAAAGTAAAACAAAGAAATTAAAGACGTCGGATTGGAAGGAAGAGTTAAAACTGTCTTTTTTGCTGGTGACATGACTTTGTATGTGGGAAACCCTAAGGAATTTCCCAAAAAAGAACTGTTGAATGAGTTCAGCAAGGTATCAGGATACAAATCACCATGCAAAAATCAGTTGTATTTTTATATACTAACAACAACAAACAATCCACAATAAAATTTTAAATTCTACTCATAATGGCATAAAAAAAGAATAAAATATTTAGGAATAAGTTTAACAAAAGATGTGCAAGACTTGTACACCGAAAACTGCAAAACATGGCTGAGAGAGACTAAAGATGAGCTAAGTAAACAGCGATCCCATGTTCATGGATTGGAAAACTCAATATTGTTAAGATGGAAATTCTCCCCAAATTAATATACAGGGCAAGCACAATGCCGTTAGAATCCCCACGGGCTTTTTTTGCAGGCATAGGCGAGCTGATTCCAAAATTTATATAAAAATGCAAGCATCTCCCTCTGTTCTGTGGGTTATCTTTTCATTCTTGGTGGTGTCGTTGTGTGATCTAAAGCTTTAAATTCTAAAATAGTCTAACTTGTCCATCTTTTCCTTTAGGGTTGGTGCTTATCATGTCTTGCTTAAGAAATCCTTTTATTGTGAAGTTAGGAAGATTTATCTTTTTAAAACCTCATGGTTTTGTCTTTCCTGCATGAGTCCTTGCCCCATCTGGACTGTGTGCTCGTATGTGTGTGCGTGCCTGTGTGCGTGTTGTAAAGTCGAGACCCAGTTAGGTTTTTTCCATATGGATACACAATTGTCCTAGCAGCCCTTACTAAAAGACCATCTTGCCCCCGATTCACAGTGCCACCTCTGTCATGTGTTGAGTGAGCTTTCTAATTTGCTCCCCCATCTGCCCCTCTGGGTTTGTAACGCCTCCACTTCCAGAGGAACAAGGCTTCCCACTTTGTTCTTCTTCCAGAGTACCCTGACTCTTCTTGGCCCTCCAGGCTTCCGTAGAAACCTCGGAGTTGCTTTTCCTAAAGAAAAAACTGCTGGAATTTTTATTGGGATTGTAACTAAACTGTGAAAGGGTCCATTTTAACAGAGGGTATAATCATGCTTCTCATACAATATACAATAAATCCAGGTCAAAAATTTTATTTAACTCATTAGTTAGGGAGGAAACAAGTAAAAAGTTACAACCAATTCAAATGAGGATTTGATCTAACGGGATTTATGCTCCCTACCTGGCAAAGATCATTTGCGATGCCACGAACAGGAATCGTTCCTGTCTGTGGACAGGACGTGTTTGCATTACCGACTGTTTCCTCCAGGTAGACGTCTGCTCCACAACCGCAGTGCAGCCTCCTCAGAGACGAAGGCGCCCACCTCTGTGGGGTTGGACAGCCCTCAGAGGCTCCAGCATTCCCAGAAAAAGGAGCCAGAAATCTTTTCTTGCTCTTTTCAGTCTTCCACAATTTTTCCCTGTAGAATTCATAATCAATTTAGGGAATCTCATTTATTTATCATTTCAGGGCTTGAAGACATACAATTAGCAAGAAGAGCAATATTTCCCCTTTGAGACATCCACCCCAATAGTCCAAAACTCTGCATGTCATGCAAGTCCAGTGGGGAGGGAGTCCACTGGGGGCTTGCATTCCACCCACCGCCTGGCTCGCCCCCTCCATCAGGTGTCTCTGTGAGAGGCTGGTCCCACATGGCGGCTGGGATGCGCTTTCTTCTGCTGGCCTTGCCCACAGCTTCCCCCAGCTGGCATCAAAGACACAGCTCCCCTCACCCACCTCAGCCACTCTTCCCCAAAGCCCAACCGCATTATATAATATATAAAATAATATTTTGTTTTTGTGCGATTTAAATGAAATAATGAAAAACACAAGTGACGTGCCCAGCCCTGTGCCCTGCACACAGGAGGCGCTCCAAGGGTTGGCTTCAGTGGTGGAGCCAGTTCAGGTCCCCCATGAGCCCAGCAGAACAACCAGGCTACGCCACCCAGAGCCAGGAGAAACAGTTAAATCCTTGTCTTGACCCAAGAACCCTGTGTGCTGGCTGGAGGTGCAACACCCAGTGGGGGCACAGAGGTCTCAAAGAGAAGCCGTGTGGAAGATGGACAGGGTCAGAAGGTGGGGACCAGCAGGCGCACCCCAGACAGAGCAGGGCAGTGCTGGGGCGTGGAGTGGGCTGTGAGGCCGCCCCTAGGGGTGAGAGAAACCAGGTTGTACGGGATTCAGTGATGCCCCACATTGACCCTGTCACAGTGGGAGGGACCTGAGGGACCAGAGGTGCTTCTGCATCTGGGCACGTATCAGAATGCCCCAGTGGGGATTCCAGAAAGTATTGCGGGATCAGGACCTCCCTGGTGAGGCCAAGGCCCAGTGTTTTAGAGCCCCAAAGGACTCTGCTGCATGGGGCCCCTTGATCTTACAGAAGGGGCGCATGGGCCTCCGAAGGCTCCGGAGCCGACTTCTCAGCTGTGTCTGTCCTATATAGCATCGGTGGAGAAGCTGGGCCCCTGGGGGGGGCGGTTCCTGGCCAATGGGCAGGGAGCAGATATGGCTGTGGGCCCCCAGAGCAGCCTCGTGGCATATTCATGTCCTGTCATTACTGGATCATGGAGGAATGTTTGTCGTGCATGCAGCTACTGCACGCTAGAGTCCATTTGCTGACATACGAGCTCAGACTGTTATTAAAAATTCTATAAAACCAAAGAAGTACAGGCAAAACCCAGATCGGGCTTTCTCCTAACACTCTGTGATGTATTTCATCCCTCCTCGCCCGGCTGCCCAGGCAGCTAGCTGAAGGGGAATCTAACAAGCAGAGTCGTCAAGGCCCAGGACAAGAGGGCTGCGGGAGTGAGGGGCTGCCCCCGCGGGGCTGCGGGAGTGAACAGCCTCAGGGAGGTGGGCCGAAATCCAGGGAGGTCCTCAGCCTCTGATGGAGCCTTGCAGAGTCTGGGCACGGGTCTCTCTTAGAAATGATGTTATCCTGTGTGGAGGCAGCTTTGTCACCTCCCTGGGCCTGTGGCTCCAGGGCAGTTCTTGGGTTTTTGCTGAAGGTCACAGATGGGAATTCCAGCCCCCCACAGCCAGATGCTGCAAAGGCTCTTCGTGTGTATGTGCTCTCTCGGGAGCCATCCTCACTGGAGCAGGTGTGTGCTCACCTGCACTGCGCCAGGTGCGGGAGGTCCCACAGGTGAGGACCAGGAGTGACTCTGCCCCATGGTTCCCTGCTGTGGTTCCCCATGTGGGAGCTGCCACAGCTACAAGTGGCCACACGGGGGCAGGCGATGGTGCCCTGGGATGGGACATGTTGCAGGGGGACCTCAGCACTGTGGGGCAGTGTTGGATCCTGTCAGTGTGCTTTGCAACTTGGGGTGCTGGTGACGTGCAGGTTCCCAGGCTCTGCCTAGAGGTTTCAGCTCTGTGCATCTGGCTGAGCTCCTCTGTGCTTGGGGCTGAGTCAAGGTGGGTGGGTCATGTGGGGAGGACAGCTTTTCTCAGCAGAGGCATCCTCCGGGCCTCAGCATCCTCCTGCACACTCCTTCCCTAGGGACTCACCACCCCCAGGGCTTCAGTCAGGTTTCCATACACCCTCTGTAACTGGGTGGGGGGAGGGAGAGCCTGAGGGAGCTCATGGAATGAGGGGGTGGGGGCTGGGGGAGTTCAGGGGATGAGGGGGTAGGGACTGGGGGAGCTCATGGGATGAGAGGGTGGGGGCTGGGGGAGCTCCTGGGATGAGGGGGTGGGGCCTGAGGTGGGAGCTGGTGTGGAAGCTATGAGGCTCCAGTAAGGATTCTAAGTCTCGGTACCTGGAAAGCCTTGCAGGATTTTTAAACCACGGGAGTGATCAGATCTGATTCTCGCTTTTTGGCAACGACTCTGTGGTTGTGAGGGGGCAGATTGTAGCAGGCACAGGAGTGGACATAGGGAGGCCAGTTGGAAGCCACTGCAGTGGTCTGAGTGAGGGAAAGTGGCCATAGGGTGACCCCAGTTTCCTCTTTGAAAGCACCTGTCCTGGGCTCTTGGGAGAGCTGGTCACCCGGATGCCGGCACGGGTCGGGTATGGGGTGGGCGGCGACATAGGATGGAGGACAGAGCTTGTCCCCAGGCACTCTCTGCAGCCCTGTCCCCCAGGACCCCACAGCCCCCTGGGAGGGAAAGGGGGGCCAGGGCAGCGGTTCAGAGCCTTGAGCTTCTGAGCTTCACCGTCGGACACTGTGGTAATCTGCCCTTGCAGGAAGGCAGCACGAATGCAGGGGTGCAGCCCCTCTGTCCCACGCTGCCCGTCGCAGCTTCCCTGGCCTGGCTGGACATTGGTGCCATCCCATTACTTGTATTGGAATCTGTGCCAGGGGTGGAAACAGCCCCCTGTGTGTGAGGTGGGGACCCCACACGGTCCCACAAAGCATGTTCCCCACCTCAGCTGGGCGTCCATGTCACGCATATGCTCGCTCTCCCTCACAAACGGGCCTCTGTGCATAAAGTAACGGAATGGGAAGATGTAGGAACGCGCCCTTGGCTGAGAACTCTTGGCATCTCAGGCATAACTGAGACGCTGCGTGAGAGACTGTGGCTCCAGGAGGACCCCTCGGAGACCTTGCCCCGATCTTAAAGTGGTTTCCCATCTTCAGAAAATCAGCTCCTGCCCCCCTGTGCAGGCCACTTTCCTCTCATTTCCTTTGTGAGTGGATCATGAAGCTCCATGTCTGGGTGGGTCATCGAACTTGGCCCCATTCCCGGACATGTCCAGGGGACTTCCCAGGGAGGTCTGCTTTTTGGTCCAAACCATCTGCATAAATAGCTGATTGAAGTGGGATCTGTCTCTGGAGACTTCTCCTCCTGTTTCCTGATGGAAGAAAAGTGATGTTTCTAAAGTGTCTGTGCATGAGAGTGTAAATGCTGGCCACAGAATTTAGCTGCTCATTAATATGATTTTATTCCACTGGTCTCTTTGTTTTCACTAATTGACTGTGTTGCCTCTTTCCTATTTCTGTGTGCTGCAGTAAATGGGAATTTAGCAATTAAGGATTTCTTTTATTCTGTTCAGTTCAACGTTTGCCCATGAATTCTATGATCCGGACTAATTAGACATGTCGTGTCTTTGTTTCCAAGCTGACGTGGCAGATTTATTAGCTCATTTTAACCGTAAACAGCACGTAGAGCAGGAAGATGTCCTATCCTGGCCTGTTGTTTGAAAATATGTTTTGAACCGAGTCTTCTTGTAAATCTAGCGCTGTGTAGAATGACTCCCGCGGCGCCCAAGTCTGTCTGTCTGAAGAAGCAGCAGTGGGGCCTGTTCCGCCTCCCCCTCCAAGGGCGGCGACCCACCCTTTGGCCTAGGAAGCACATCTGGCGGCCCGGAGCCCGGATGAGGGGCCCTGGATGCTCAGAGGCAGGTGGCAGCTGTGTCGGGAAGGGCTTCTTGGAGCTGTCAATAGGTTGGGCGCTGTAGGGAAAGTGGGCAGGGATCCCTCACAGCTGCCAGCTCGGCGGCATGCAGAGGCCTGGGTGGGTCAGGCACACTGGGCACTCCTGTCCTCCCGCCTGGAGTTGCGTGTCCAGGGGCCCCTCCCGGAACCTCAGCTGCCTGCAGACAACCGGGCAGCACCCCTGCTTCCCATCCACACTCGAAGAAAGGCAAGAGGCGGGGTGCAGAAGGACGAGAGTAGTGGCTCCACACACTGTCCAGCCCTTCCCAGGCCCGGTGCCCCTCGGAGCGGACAGGAAAGAGGCTGTGGGCCTTTCGCCCCAGGCTTCTACTTCTCCGCTGTCACAGCCCACCTGTTTTAAGATGACCCTTGCTCATCATACCCTCCATTGATGGGGTTCAGGGATCTCAGGGAGTCCCCCTGCTCTGCCCAATGCACAGCAGGAGGCAGGAGCTGGAGGTGGCCTCTCAGGACCCTGCCAGGCCATGCCAGCCCCCAGGCCACCCAGGAGCCTTCATAGGCCAGCATGGGAAAAGATGGTCCTGCAAGGCACCCAGGGAGGCTGAGAAGGGGTGCATGGAGTCCCAGGAGGGGGTCTTCAGCTGCACCAGCTGGTCTGAGCCGGCAGAGCAGAGGCCAGCCCGGACAGGGGAGTCATGCTGTAGTTGGGGCAGCAGGGCTCCAGGCTGTTGGTCCAGGGCTACTTGCTTTGCTTCCCCTCTCAAAGCCCAGAGATGCTGGCAGGGCTGCCGCCATGAGGATCCCTCCCGATGTTTGTGCGCAAGTGTCCTCTGCCTGTTTCTATGGTAACTGCAGATCTGTATCCTGCCTGCGTGTGTGATTGTGTTCTGTTCTCCTTGTAGATGGAGGAGATAAAATTTAAAGACAGAGCAGTCTTCGTGCTGGAGAGAGAGTTAGGGGTTCAAGCCGGGCATGCTCAGAGACTGCAGCTCCAAAAAGAGGCTTTAGATGAGCAGCTGTCCCAGGTCAAAGAGGCTGATCGGCACCTGGGCAGCCCCAGACGGGAACTTCCTTATGCAAGTGGTGCAGGAGACGCCTCAGACCACTCGGGAAGCCCTGTAAGCACCTCCTCATGCTCCGCCCGGCCACCCCAGAGTCACAGACAGACAGCACCATGCATGGCTGCATGGCCTGTGCGGGCAGCTCCCGGGGAGTCCAGAGCCCAGCTCCAGAGTCCAGAGGCAGAGCGCTCCTGCCCTGGGGACGCTGACTGTGTCTGCAGCCCGGCCAGCCAGGCCCTGGACCCCTCGGCTTAACTGGTTTGGCTGAGAGGGCGAACAGACGTCCTTCCTTGCTAACGTGGCATAACTATGGCCTTCACTTGATCGCCCTGCCATGGACCCCCAAGGCTTCAGGCTTCCTGCTGGAGCCGCCAGGCCCCCAGGTTGCTAAGGGTCCCTGGTACTTGCTGGTGGTGGCTCCCGCCCTGGGCTGGTGGGAGATGAGTCTGTGCTGCCTCCATCTCCACGCACAGGCTTTGCCTTCCGGCCCAGGAAGGCTGGCTCCCAGCTCCCTGCTCGCCCACATCTCTGGCTTTGACCTCACACAGTGATTTCTGCTGCTCACATCACCAGTCACCCTCCCACCTGCTTTTCGTGTGACCTGCCACTTTTCTGCTTCTCCTCGGGCTGCCATGACAGTGCGGGATCAGCCAAGAGCCACACGGCTGTGACACCATCCATTTCCTCATTGCTGCTCCTCATTCAGAGCCCTCTGGAGCGGTTCTGGGAAATCCGGGAGGGGGGCTCCAAATTCCACAGACCCTCGACGGGGGTCCTTCTGGGTCTGCTCCCTGGCCTCTCCTGCACCTGCTGAGCGAGGAACCGTCCCTCAGTCCTTCCTGGACACGCGTTTGTTTTCTTTGAGGGTGCAACCGTGTCTGAGCTGAGCCAGCCCTATGAGAGTGACATTTCAAGAATAGAAAATGACATTTTGTAATCTTATTATCAATGGCTTCGCTGAATTAAAACCAGCTCCTGCTCTGGCGCTCGATAGATTGTGTTAACTCCAGAGAGATTCTGAAACTGGATCAAAATGTTTCCACTGATTTTTGAGTGAAGTTTCCAAAGTGACCTTTTAGACACTCAATTGGAGGGAGCAGTCTTCTTGGGAAACTAACTTTTGAAAGTTTTAGGTTGAATATCTTTTCCCGTGTTCGTGTTCTAATACTAGGAAGATGATGTCCCTCTCTGCCTGCAGCACGGGGCAACCCCTTCCTGAAGGAGGCAGCAGGGCCCAGGGGAGAGCAGGGAGCTGGTTCCCATCTTTTCTTGGTGTCACCCACACTTGTGCCTGCATTCGCACGCCCTCATCCTCCACATTTGCATACTTCTGGACATTTCTGCTCCTTCCCTCCGTCCCCATCATGCCGCTTAGGAGGCAGTCGCCTTCCCTTTGGAGGGTCCACACCCGCCCCCCCCGCCGTGCAGAATCATGGGCGATCACAACACGGAAGTGCTTGGGTTTCCATGGTGTGTGGGGATTTGAAAGATTTTCATGTCTGTGTCTATGAGCAGTTATTTGCAGTTAATTTTTGTTTTAGGAACAGCAGTTGGATGAAAAGGATGCTCGGCGCTTCCAGCTTAAAATTGCAGAGTTAAGTGCAATCATTCGGAAACTTGAGGACCGAAATGCCTTGCTGTCAGAAGAAAGGAACGAGCTGGTGAGTGGCGGAGAGGCAGTGGGGGTAAGGGGGAATCTTCTGGGTCCTATGGTTTTATGGCTGCAGCGTGGGGGGAGCCAGGGGCGTCCACTTCCAAAATCCCTTGTAGGAAGGAGGAGTGATGGTGACAAGGGCAGGCGTTGTGTCCAGGCCTCTGGGCTGTTTCCAATGAAACTTTATTAACAAAACCGGATGAGGGGCCAGATGTGGGCCTCAGGTGCTGGTTGGCTGATCTCTGCTCCACATTATGGGGCAAAATTATCCTGAGTTCTGCACATTATTGGGATGTGTGAGGACCTCGCCCTTCGGTGGCGCCATCACTGTTAGTCCTTACAGCCACTGAGATTTCCGAGTGATTTGTCCTGCAGGTGTGTGACTTGCTCAAAGTGGTCATGGCCGGTCATGAGCCGGGTGGGTTTACTTTGGCCCTCATTGGCAAGATAGAGCGTGGGCCCCACATGGCTGCCCTTCGCTGTAGCTGAAGGTTGTGCTGCTCAGTTTTCTGACTCTGCTTGGAGCTGTTGGTTCTCTGTCACACTTAAAAACCTCACACTGTGTAATTAATTTTGCCTTTCAGCTAAAGCGTTTAAGAGAAGCTGAAAGTCAGTACAAGCCATTGCTGGATAAAAACAAGCGCCTTACTCGGAAAAATGAAGACCTGTCCCACACTTTACGTCGAATGGAAAACAAGTTAAAATTTGTCACCCAGGAGAACATAGAAATGGTAGGGGCCTGATGGGGTCTGGCGGGCCAGCAGGATGTGCCCACGCTGGTGCGTAACCAGCTTCTCATACTCAAGGTTTGATAACACCATCCCTGGGCCGGGCTTTCACTCAAGCCTCTGATCTCACGTACATTTGTGGGGACAGGAACCGGCGCAGACCTGCGCCCTGGGGGAGAAGGCCTTAGATGCGGGTCTCATATCTGAGGGCAGAGGGTCACAGGTGCCTGCCTCTGGGAGTGACAGAGTGGACGCGGAACCGCTAGGAGGTCACTGAGCAAGTCACTCCCTCCGCCTCCAGGCCTGTCGCCCTGTCCAACACCAGGGGCCTGGATGAGCCATCGCCCAACTCTGAGAGTCTCAGGCAGAGGTAGTGGACCCCAGGGACACTGGCCGTGGGGGGAGGGAGCGAGCAGGCCAGGCACAGGGCATGGAGCCCTGGGCAGGGGAGGTTCCACTGCAGCCGCGGCCGCAGCGGAGTGTGTGGGATTAGCCTTGTCATGTGCATTCCTTCTGGCCCTGAGGGCCTTGGAGACCGTGAGCAAGAGTTTAGGCAGAGTAATTCAGCATGATGTAGGGGAGGCAGGCAGGGGACCATCAAGCCCTTCTCTGCAGAAGTTCCCATCTTTCCACGCTCTGAGTTTGGCAGGCGGCAGAGGGTGAAGTGAGTGGCACACGCAGCTCACACGATCTCGTCTTTGGGGTGCAGAGTTGCTCCATGTGCGCACTCCAGACTGCATGCCCTGCCGCTGCTGCGGGGATCCCCCCGAGACACAGGCCTTGTTTTCCCTGGGCCTCTGTAGCTGTGCTGCTCCAAGGCCTGAGCAGAGAGGCCCCCTCGCTCCACAGCCAAGGGGTGACCAGTGACTGCTCAGGCGTATGCAGACTGAGCGAGGGGACCCCCAGCTTCCCCGTCACCCAGGCGACCACCTCATTCCACCCCTTGTAATGTCCTCTGGCTGGTTTTTCAGAGACAAAGAGCCGGAATCATAAGGAGACCCAGTTCCTTAAACGATCTGGATCAAAGTCAAGATGAAAGAGAAGTTGACTTCTTGAAACTTCAAATTGTGGAGCAGCAGAACCTCATAGACGAGCTTTCCAAGGTGACTGGGCGCCTCACCCGTCCTGGCTCTCTGCCGCCCCACAGAGGTCACGCCCTCGGCCCCTCACCCTCCGGCTCTGGGGGTCTGGCCAATGGGCAGGAGATGGGGGAGGGGGAACCTGCATTTGTCCTCTCCCTCCCTGGGGGTACATCTTGGGCTGGGTCCCTCCACCCTGCTCATGCTTGAGGTGGCACTCCCCAAAACGCTCTGATTCCTGTCCTCATCACTTTGGGCCGGGGGTCTCAAGAGCAGCGGTACTGCTGGGATTAGTTCCTGGGCTGCCATAACAGAGCCCCCAGCTGGGGCCTTCAAACACAGCAGCTTCTCCTCTCACGGTCTGGAAAAATCCAGAATCCAGGGTCAAGCGCTGGAGGGGCTGTGCACCCTCCGCAGGGGCAAGGGGAGTAGTCATTCTGTGTCACGAGGAGGCTCCTGGTGGCCGTCAGTCACATGACTCTGGTCTCTGGCTGTCTTCATGGGGCCTTCTCTCCGTGTCTCCCCCTTCTCTTCTCTTCTCTTCAATCCCTTCTCAAGATCCCTAATTTAATCGCACCTGCAAAGACCCAGTTTCTAAATAAGGCCACAGTCCAGGTTCTGGGGATTAGGATGTGGACATATCTTCCTGGGGGCCCCCTCCAGCCATCTACACTGCCTGATCTCTGTGGCCCCCTCACCCCCAGCAGGATTTTGCATCGTCCTCCATTAAACCCTCCTCCCATCATCCTGATTTGGGGCGCCTTCTGCTTCTTTCTGGGATCCCTACCAGCCCCCTAGTTAGAGCACTGCAGAATGAGTGGCCTTGGCCATTCTTGTCCCCTGGGGACAGTGGAAGCGATGGCAGTGTCCTTCTCTGTCTCTGGTGTGACACGCGGCCCGGAAGTGCTGGCCTCTTGCTTCAATGACTGAAGTCACCTCCAAAATGACGTGAGACTGGATGGGAAGATGCCCCTGCCCCACGGCTGTGGGCTGGGGTCTCGCGGATGCAGCCTTCCCTGACTGTGCCTGAGGTCTGAGCTCGTGCCTCCTTCAACAACACGGTGGTTGTCAATCCCCACAATAATGAGAATTTATGGAAAAGGAAGAAATCTTGGTCAGTTACAAATGCACATTATTTCTGAAAGGCTAGTGACAGGCCCTCGACCCTGAAGAGAAGGCCCCTTGATGCTTCTGCAGGTTCATGGTGCCCTCAGGGGGCAGTTTAAGGAAGGAGGAAGGACTGTTAGGGCCAGGTAGGACCCTCCCTCTCAGGGCGAGGGGAGAGCAATGCTCTCTGCAGTCAGGAAGCGGCAGGGGTTTGGGGCAGCTGGCAGGGCTCTGGGGTTCCCGTGGGGCAAGGTCTGTGCTCTGATTCCCCGACGTGCTGTCCTCTCTTCCTAGACCCTGGAAACCGCCGGCTACGTGAAGAGTGTGTTAGTAAGTACCACTCAGTATCTCTGTACTGACATCGACACCCATTTTCCGGTGCCATTGTCCCTGGGACCCCTCCTATGCCGATGGTCCCATCTGGTCCAGATAGAAGCGGTGCCAGTATTCTGGGTGGATCCTGTTCTCACAGTGCCACCTGCCCAGAGGCTCTGCCGTGGTGACCCAGAGCACCCATCCGTTAGGATCAGACAGGTGCCAGGGAACGTTGGCCTTTGGGAAAGCCTGCAGGAGCAGCGCCCGGCTCTGCTCATTACCCCTTTATTAAAGACCGGGGGTTGGATGGCTCCCCTCTCTGGAGCACTCTCCCCACATGGGTTCCTCCCCCCTCCATACTGACCGGTTGTCGGGGCCTGGCTGGTTCACAATCACAGTCATGAAGATGCTGCATAGCTCCCTGGAGAGGAACGGGTCGTTGGTCTCCTTACGTGTTTATGGGGGTCTGTCTCCACATGCACGTGTACACCATTTCTGTGGACATCAGCTCAGAGAGTGTCCAGGAGGCTGGGCCATCATCCCTCCCAAATTCCCGTTTCTGTGCGTGTGCCACTCTAAGCCCCTGGCCCCTGCATGGGCCCCCAGCTGCAGACTGAGACGGAAGCTGGAGGATGATGGAGCGTCGTGAGCTCAGAGCCCCCCAAATGGGCGATCCCTCCTTTTGTGCTGATCCTGAGCAGAAGGATGAGCCATCCAGACCTTCAGAGCAAACTGCCCTGGACGGGGCCCTGCATTTCGGTGTATTTATGATAATATGGGCAATATGCCAATCTTGAAGTCCTCCTCTGAGTCCCTTCAGATCAGGACAGGAAAGATTAAACTGATAGAGCTGTTCAGCTCCTTAAAAGGTCTCTTCCACTGGTTTTTGCAGGAGCGTGATAAGCTTTTAAGATATCGGAAACAAAGAAAGAAAATGGCGAAACTCCCCAAGGTAGGTGGGAAAATGTTGACCTGTATGTACATAAAACGTGTATTTAAAGAAACCACGTAGTAAGAAACACTCTCTTTATTTAGAAGTGAAAAGAAGAAAATTTTATTATTTCTGAAAATTGTTATTGTGAAATAACCAAAACAGGACCCAAAGTAAATATTCTTTTGATAACTTTAAATTTAAAAATTCAACCTTTTTTTCTTTTAAATTTCCAAGAGAAGATATGAATTAATGCCAATAGTGAGGAGGAGGAGTCAGCCGTGGGATGCTGGCCCTCCTGCAGAGGAGTTTGGATTCCCAGGTCTGCCTGGGACACACGGCCCGAGGACCGGCGGTCTGTGCCCCTCCAGGGCTGACCTCTGCCCCTAGGGAATTTGAAGACCTGGGTTAGTTTCCCTGCAGTACAATCCTTTTTGACAAACCTATGGTTTTTGTTAGAGATGATTTGGGACAAATTCCTGAAGGACCTAACTTGTGTCCTGCTTTATGCAAAATGTGTGTTTATGTATTTTGTTGTTTAATTTTTGAACAATCACCAGTGGTGCTCATACAAACTATTAGATATCCCCTAGGAACAAATACTGGCTCGTCTGGCCCTCAGAAAGGCCTGCAGGGGGAGTGAGAGGGTGTCGGGGCCTCTCTCTCCTCCGGATTATTTCAGGGTATTTAGAGATTCCTGTCTGTTGAGTGTCATACTGTGGCAGCTGCGTGTCACTGTGATGCTGAAAGCTATGGCTCCAGGATTTCAAATACCAGCAGGGTTACCCCTGGTGGACACGTTTCACTGGAGCTTCCAGACTAAGACGGACCAGGAAGAAGGACCTGGCTGCTCACTTCTGAAAAAATTTGCCATGAAAACCCTGTGAATAGCAGAGGAGCATTGTCTGATAGAGCACTGGAAGGGGCGAGGATAGCACAGAGAGACCAGGCAGGGTTCTGCTCTGCTATCCACAGGGTCACTAGGAGTGAGAATTGACTCAACGGCACTAACAACAAATTTAGAGATTATCTGGAGGCCCAGAAGCCTGACAGTGCAGTTCCAACAGAGTGGACTGGCTGGAGGAGGCCCACCCTTTCTCCTGGGCCCCCAGCTGTCCAGGCGCTTTCATGAGACGGGAGGAGGGAGAAGCTGGCGAGTCAGGAGCCGTCAGTGAGCAAAACGGGCTCAGGGGCCAAGGACAGGAGATTGGTTTGTGAGGTCTGGAGCGCTGGCCACAGTGACTCCAGCCTCAGAGGCCGGTGAGCTTCCATGAGCTGGAACATGAAGGAGCGCGATGAGGTTTCTACAGGATCATTCTCATGGCTTTAGCAGAAAGACCCAGGAGGCTGCTGCAGGCATCTGGGCCAGGGCTAGGGAGAGTGTGGCCGGGAGACGGACAGGAGGGGTGTAGTCAGAGCAGATGACAGACACGGCAAAGGAGGAGGTAGAGGAGGCCACGCTGGCTGACGGGGCTGAGGCTGGATGATCCAGACCAGGGGTGCCGGCAGGAGGGCGGCGTTTAACAAAGCACGTTTGTGCTTGCTAAGTTTGCCCCTTTTCTGGATGTTTCTGTGGAGAAGTCTGGAAAAGGGTTGGAGGTACAGGGGCAGCATTTCTGGGAGAGGCCGGGGCTCCCCTCAGCAGGCGGTCAGCACCTGGGTGCCTCTGTGCTCAGGGTGGGGGCGGTCATGGGGAGACAGGGAGGCTGAGGACATAGGATGTCCAGGGAGGGGTCAGAGGAGGTGGCCTCGGTCCCCTCTGCTCTGCGCCAGGCTGCACCACCAATTGTAGCTTGTGGGCCAGTAGGTGGTCCCGGGGGCCCCAGGGAGGCGTTTCACTGGAAGGTCCTGGCACAGGAACCAGCAGGGAGACCTGGTGCCAGATTCCTGGAGTCACCCAGGAAGGAAGGAACCTTGAGTGTGACAGAGAAGATGGTGGGCTTGGATTTTGTGGTATTCTGAAACAAGATGAGGAGACCTAAGTGTTTGGAAGGCAGGGAGGTGAGCAGAGCCAGTGGGGAGGGGGAGCAGCAGGCAGAGGGGTGGGCAGGGAGGGGAGCCAGCATCACGAAGTCAGAGGGGAGCCGTGGGGCGTCCCTCGGGCAGGGCCTCTCAGACGAGCTGGTGAAGGGCCTGCCTTTGCTTTTCTGTTTATTTTTGTTCCATCCTGTCAAGGATTGATCCTTTTTAAAATGCAGCAAAAATGAATTACTGGAAAAGCGATCACACGCTAAACGTTAAGGCCAGTGCTCATGTTGATCCCGTGTCATGTCATCACGCACAGGGGCAGACGGTTGAGCGCCACTGCCCTGAGGAGCCGCAGAGAGAGTCCCCCACGGAGGGGCCTCGTTCCCCTCCATGAGGGTTGGTCTGCCTCTCCGCAGATGTCCAGGCCTGCTTTCCAGTCCACCCTCCACCAGCCCCTGCTTCCAGAAAGACCATGATGGCGGCCACCTTGGCCTGCGGTGGGGCAGCCCTGAGTAGACTCCCGAGGGGGCAGTTGAGGATGGAGACCAGGGTGCGCTGGGGGTACGGCCAGGCAGCTGGCCCCACAGCTGGGGAAGGGGCAGGGGAAGGCCCAGAGGCCCCATGGGAGCGGGCAGCTCTGCTGGCAGGGTCTGGGTTTGGCCTAACACAGTTCTCTTTGGTCAGCAGCCGGTTGTCGTGGAAACCTTCTTTGGATACGACGAAGAGGCTTCCCTGGAATCCGACGGTTCTTCCATCTCTTATCAAACGGACAGGACGGACCAGACCCCGTGCACCCCAGAGGATGACCTGGAAGAGGTACCTTCTGCAGTGGTTTCTGGACAGGCCTGGGCGGGCGGGGCGTGGGGGCAGGTGAATCCGGATTGGCATTCTGCTCCCTGGAGGCTGCTCTCTGGAGAGGCGGGCTAGGTGGCCCTCACTGGCTGTGCCGCCCAGTAGTCCCCGATTTTACCCAGTGAGAAACACTCCCCATTGCTGGCTGCCTGGTGGCCGGTGTGGCCCCTTCCTTTGAATGCATGCCTGGCATTGTGCTGGTGCCCCCTCTGCAGAATGGTGCAGAGAGCTCCCGCCCTCTCAAAGGGCTGGAGAGGTGCGGGGTGAGGCAGTCTGAACCACCCAGTGATGGGGGTCGGCACCAAGGCCAAGAGCACATGCTGGTCACTCCTGGTCACTGCTCCCCTCCCACACCAGAACTGTGGCTTGTTCTCCTCTGAGCAGCAAATCTTTCGGGGCCCAGTGCGGCCCTCAGAAGGCAGCAGCAGCCACTTCCTTCTTCCTGGGGCAGCAGGTGTTGCTGTGTCTAGAAGGAGGCAGGGAGGGAGCCTGTAATGTGAGGCAAGTGGGGAGGAGACGCCCTCCCGGGGCTGTAAGCCTTTCATAGCACCCAGCTCTCCTCCCCTGACTCCAATGGGGAGAGCAGCCTCAGGTGAGCCTGGTTAGGAGTGGAGGGTCCCGGGTTGGGGCAGCCTGGCTGGCAAGCGGGAGCCCAGCTGAGCCCCTGGCCCCCACCACTGGCCTGAGAGGCCCTTGGCCCCAGGGCCTCAGGGCGCCCCTCCCAGGGGTCCCCAGGTGGAGGCCCGGGCTCTAATGCCGTGTGTCTCGTGCGCTTCTCCAGGGCATGGCCAAAGAGGAGACGGAGCTGAGGTTCCGGCAGCTGACCATGGAGTACCAGGCCCTGCAGCGAGCGTACGCCTTGCTGCAGGAGCAGGTCGGAGGGACGCTGGACGCAGAGCGAGAAGTTAAGGTCTAACTGACTTCTACTCCACGACGTTCCGGCTCCTGCTGGGCTCCTCCCCGCTTGACCCCTGGCCATGGCAGGGGGACTCGCATCGCTCCACCTTCAGGGCCTGCTCTCCCACAGTTGTTGTCGGGCTAGCGCTCACCGAGGCAGTTAAGATCCAGTGTTTGGGAAGCTGCCCTGGGCTGGGACCAGGGCCAGGGCGGGCACACCTGCCTCCCCTAGCTGAGGACCCTCAGACCCTGTGCCCAGCTGGCCCCAAACCTCCCATCTGTGTGCCCTGGAAGCTGTTCACGGGGGAGCAGGAGCTCACTTTGGAATAGAGTGCCCTGTGGCTTGGACGCCACGACAGCAAATTAACTCAAGGGAGGGCAGCCCGGACCCCCAAGAAGCCCAGGTGGTGCTTGTGGGGGACTGTCACACACCAGGGTGCCGAGGGCGGGTCTTCTAAACGGGGGACAGGCTCCCGGGGAAGTAGTTAATTGAAAGCAAAATCTGGAAAAGGAAGGGAAGACAAGGCCAGTGGAGGGGCCCGTACTGTCTTGGGTCTGGCTGGGCAGACCACTCAGCAAGCCCATCTGTGCATGTCGTCGTCATTGTCATCCAAGAGACTACCCCTGTGGCCAGCACCCGACCGGGCTTAATTGTCCTCATGGGGTGTTTCGTCCTGTACATGAGGATTTTCCCTAGTAATCCCTCAAAATTAATCTATAGATCATCGCTCTGTAATCTGAGCCAGGTCGCTTGCTTCAAACAAGGCTTAAAGTTCTTCCTTTCTTACAGAGCGCTCCTTCCAAAGGAGTGAACCGCCGTTTCTCCATTAGCTGAACTGAAAGGCGCACAGGCCTCTCAAAGTCCCCGTCCGTGTGGGCGTGTCCTGGCTTTTAGAGAAAATTTGATGTCTCTCTCCTCCCATCCTACAGACCCGTGAGCAGCTACAAGCAGAAGTGCAGAGGGCCCAGACGCGGATAGAAGACCTTGAGAAGACGCTGGCCGAGCAGGGGCAGGTGCGTGCGTGGGGCCCGGGGTCCCCTGGAAGCTGGAATGGTGGCCCAGGCCCTCCAGCCGCAGGTGGGGGGTGCCAGGGAGGGCACGTCCCCCAGGCTGCCGAGTCTCCCCTTGATGAGGGTGGTGGTCTGTGGACGTGGTCGTAGGTAAAGATGATTCAGCCGCACACTGAAAGCGAGCCCTCAGCACATCTTACTGTATCACCCCTCAATAAATCATTTGAAAACTGGAAGGAATGTGCTAAAGAAGTTCCACAGAAGCCTTGGATGAGGCAGGAGTCCGCCTGACCATCAATGTATGGCCTCCCTGGACTTGACCCAGGGAGGTCCTACTAGTGCTCTTAGCTCAGGGCCAGGGTTTCAGGTCCCCGGGGTTTGTCGGCCGCTCCCCTCACCCCCTACGACCACCACCACCTCTGGGTTCTTCAAATCTGGAAGGAGGGCATCCATCCCCACTGGCCACAAGGCCTGAGCACCCCTCACTGACTAGCTGGACAGTGCAGCTCCAGGTGGACCCAAGACGAGGTTGGAGGACATCCTCGTGGGGTTGGCAGGGTCCACGTGGGAAAGTGCAAGTCCAGTGCAGACCCCTAGTGGTCCTGAAGGTGTTAATTGCTGGGTGGACAGCTGGATGGACAGACAAGAGAATGACGTGGATGGCTGCCTGGCCACATTGCCACATCCCTCACCTGAGTGGGTGAGGCCCAGAATTCGGTCTGCGGCACCTGGAGCTGTTCACCTGAAACGTGTAGGACCGGCCTGCAGCCCTCCACGCCCGTGACTCCTCTGGGGCTGCTGTGCACTCGGGCCTGCAGGGCGGCGCTCCAGAGCTATGTGTGCGCGGCCTTCGTAGACCCTGGACTGGAGAGCAAATGTCCCCTCTGTAGCCACCGTCATGCAGTCTGTGCCGGAGAAGGAGCAGCCGCTGAGGGTGGGGGGACACTAGGATGGGGAGGAAGCCACTTCCTTTGCTTGCAGAGATGAGTCTTTCAAACTGGAAAAGAACCTCGCAGATGACTTTGCAGAAAAGGAATCTGGAACCAAGTTTAGTGTTTCAGACAACCAGCCCCTCCGTGACTCCTTGCTTTGTGACAAAACGCTGCTGGCGAGAGAACACCAGGGCTTCAAGGTGGAAGGGGGCGCACAAAGACACTGCACTTCCACCAAGCTCTGACCGTGGATGGGGCAGCAGGGTATCTACATGTGTGTCACGCCAGCCGGAGCCTGCCTCCGTCCATGTGTCCCGTGTGTGAAATGGACGGGATGCCCACTGTCCTCACCCCGCCTGCCTGAGACCTCTTGGGCTCACTGGCTCCATGTCAGGGTCTCCTGGACCTGTGATGTCTGCACAGGGCTGTGTCATCGGACGCCTGGCCTGGGGTGCATCCGCGTGGTGGCACACGGGATCTGCAGAAGTAGGGCTGCCTCTGCTGGCTCTCTATCCAGGTGCCTCCAGGACAACGGGTGAAATCACAGGCTGTCATTAGCTGGGTGACGTAAACCATCATTAGGTGGTTACTTTAGAAGCTGGGTCTTGAGTCCTTTCTTCAGACCCTCTGTCCTGCTGAATCGTGGTTTAAACGCTGGCTTTACGATTTTTTCCTGCAGTGTGTTTATTTCTCCATTTCAATTCCATTTTCAAGGATATGAAGTGGATTGAAGAGAAGCAAGCTCTGTATCGGAGAAACCAAGAGCTTGTTGAGAAGGTGCGCCTGAGCCCGCCGAGCGTCCGGCTGCTTCCCCGAGAAAAGCAGGAATTCCTCTGTGTTCACGGGAGTGTGCGGGGACCCCGGTGCTGGGCGGGGTGGGGCTCAGGCCGAGGTTCCCTGATGGCCCCTATCCGGGCCTTCTATGCTTCTCGCTCCTGTGGGGTGCCCCTCTCTGCCTCCTGGAGACGGGGCGTCCCCGGGGCTGGGAGAGCCCTGTGTCCATAGCAGCTTCCCATCCGGTGTTTGGTGGGACTGGTGGGTTCTGTGGTTGGGGTTGGTTAGAAAAACTTTGTGAAAGAGTTGCCCTTTTGAAACCACTGGAATCGTCCCAACTGGAGGCTTCGTTGGGCCAGGGAGCTCTACTCCTAAGAGTGTTCATGTTAAAGCCAGTGGTCCTCAGGGAAGAGCTCCTTTGAGAGTCCGCAGGAGGCCTGGGCTCTGGTTTCTGTCACCACCGAGCAACTGTGAGTGTGTTTCTGACTTGACCACAGCTTCACCTGGCAGTGGCCTCAGTGGGCTCTTCTGGCCCCTAGATAACAGGAGGTCCCAAAACGCTGTCATCCCTGTCTCCACACCCCTAGGCTGGGGCTTCTTTGGCTGGAAGGTTGTGTCTGACGTAGGGTAGATGACAAGTACTCAACTGGGCTGTTCTCTTGGTGGCTGAGCTGCTGCTTGGAGCCACCACACTTTCCCTTCTCCTTAGAGGTGAGACGTCCCTTATGGGGCATCTCCCTCCATGTCATGACCCTCCCAATCCAGCCTGATCTCGGGGCTAGCTGAAAGGAGGGGCTCACAGTCCAGAGGGCCACAGACTAGACTGTTGGTCAGATTAGATGTAGGCAGTTCAGGACCAGCCACGTGGGGGTAGGGCCCCAAAGCTGCTGAGCAGGTCATGTGGAATGAGGCAGGAGTTGGCCATGGCCATGTTTCCCGAGACAGAGAAGTCCCTAGGGCCCCCAGCTCTCTCGGCAGCCCCGGGAGCCCCATGCCTGGTGAGGGTGCTCCTCGTGACCCTCCCCGCCAGCAGCTGGCCTTGTCCACGGGCAGAGGAGGCAGCGCCTTCCGTGGCAGGCACAGCCCATCCAGAGAAGAGCTGGGCTAGCTGCAAGCTCACGAGCACAAGGTGCACCATCATGCCAGCACTTCACGCAGGCCAGCAGCCTCCGAACCAAGCCTGCGGGCCAGAGGCCAGTGGTGCCACCCCCACCGAAGCTGGCAGTCCCTCACTGGGCTGTGCTTTGGGTACTGTTTGTGTCTTGAATAGTGAGCAACTCCTACACGCTTTTGGTGGATCCTCCACATGTATCGTGAATCAAGACAGCTGTTTCTGTGCTCACATGCACAGAACACTCGTGCACACATAACGCTTGTGTATACACACGAACACTTGTGTATGCATATAAACTCTTGTTATACACACAAATGCTTGAGTGCACTCTTAAAGGTACTCACAAACATGTGAATGCCCGCGTGCACACATAAATGTTCACCTGCACACTTAAAAGCTTGTATGCACTAAATGCCCTTGCACATACTTGAATACTCAGACACACACATAAGCACTTGCATTACACTTAAACACACGCACACTTAAATGTTCACAAGCACACATGAACACTTGTGTGTACACATCAACACTGGTTTGCGGGCTTATATGATCCTGAGCATACTTAAACACTTATGTGCACACTTAAACACTGTGCGCACACTTAAATGGTCACCCATGCATATGACACTCTTGCACGCATAAACACTCGTGTGCACATATAAAAACCTGAGTGCAAACTTAAACACTTGTGTGCATACTTAAATGCTTACTCGTGCATATGACACTCTTGCACACATAAACACTCGTGCACATATATACACTTGTGTGCATACTTAAACACTGTGTGCACACTTAAATGCTCATGCGCACACTTAAAGACTGTGCTTTTCTCTGGCTATGATGGGCACAGGGTCACATCTGTGGCCCTTGATGCCTTGATGCCTCCCGGTGGCCCCAGCTGTGCAGTGTGACACACAGCACTGGGGAAAGCTCCAGCTCCCGACGGCATCAACTCACTCGGAAGATGCTGATGCTCCTGGATCCATCTAGACCCATCTCCTGAGTGTCAGAGCAGGCCCCTCAGCCCCCAAAGTGCAGTTCTGGGGGAATGGACTGAGCTCACGGTGGACACCCTCCTGGTGCATTTTCCTGTCCTCATAAGGCCACTGAGGACACCTGCCACAAGCAGAATTGAGCTTACCCATGGAAGGCGTGGGCCTACTGCATTGGCTCCACTCATTAAACCTAATGTTCAACAGTCCCTAATGAGTGAAGCCATTTCTGGGGGGTGGCCAGGCAGCCACAGTACATGGCCACTCCCTCAGAACAGCAGTGTCCACCAGGCTCTGGGCCAGCCTGGGCTCCAGGGAGCATTCCTGGCCACAGCAAGACGGGCCCTCACTGGGACCTCTTACCGCCTCTGTCCCCATTGGGCACCTTCTCTTCTCCATCTCTGCTCAGACGGCCAGGCCGGGCTCAGGGCTACTTCTCTGGCTCCAGAGCTCCCGCCTCCTGCATCTGGCACTGTGTTCCCTGTCCCCCGACCCTGGTTTAGCCGAGGAGTAGAAACTCGCCCAATCCCACTAGGATGGACCCAAATGGACTCAGGCTGGAGCGAGGGTTCTGGGCCAGGTGCCTGGGGTTGGTCAGGCGTCTCCACGGACAGTGAGCAGCTGTTGGAAAAGCTGGGGAGTCAACCTCCTGTGACCTCCAGGCTCTCTTCCTTGTTTTATTCTACAGATTAAACAAATGGAGACGGAAGAGGCTCGGTTAAAACACGAGGTCCAGGATGCAAAAGACCAAAATGAGCTGCTGGAGTTCCGGATCCTAGAGCTGGAGGTGCGCCTCGGGCGTGGGAGCTGGGCTGAGTCCAGGGCCGGAGCGTTGTTGCCCTGTGAGCTGGTGTGATTGAGGGCTGTAGTTGGGCCCCTGTCACTTGCTGTTGTGGAGGAAAACAAAAGCAGAAGCAAAACAAAATAGACAAAAACCACGAGTGTCTGCACGCAGTGCCGGGGCCTCCCTCTGGGTCCTGGCATCCTTCAGGGCACCCAGTGATGAGGGGGTCGTGACTGTCACTGGCAAGAATGACCACCTTCTCCTACAACACTGGGACCCAGCTTGGCTTGCTTTTATGCACCAGCATTTCTGCCTGTCTTGTTTCCTGGTGTCCCCACACACCTGGGTTGTGGGGAAGGGGTCCCCACTTGCCTGCCAAGGAACCAGGTTGAGTCCGGATGGAACTGCCTGTCACGATCCTCTGGTCCACCTCCCTGAGGGGGGCAGGAAGGCTGCACAGCCACTCCGTGTGTGTGTGTGTGTGTGTGTGTGTGTGTGTGTGTGTGAGTGACAGTCCCCTCTGGGCCCCCAGGGCTCCTGCATGTGGTCCTGGATGAGGACGGTGGCAGCACCACCAGCCACTGTCCTCAAGGGCTTGCTCTCGTCAGGCCTGTGGGGGACACTGCTCCTTGAACCTCCCAACAGCCCTATGGGATTCACGATGACAGCTCTTGGGGTCCCGAGAGCCCATCTATGCTGAGAGCTCCCCGCTCCTCTCAGCATCTGGACAGGGCCTGTCTTCTTGGGCAAGTCCAATGAGGTTGCTGCTGCTGCGGCCGGGGCTTTGTTTTCACAAACGGCATGTTGACCACATTTGGTGGCCTTTGTGTCCCCACGATCTTCCTAGAATGGGCTCCCAGCACAACCCTCTGGGGCGGGTGGGGGACAGGAGGGAGCAGTCTGCCCATGCCCAGCCTTCCACTCTCTGTCTTAGGAGAGGGAGAGGAAGTCGCCCGCCATCAACTTCCACCACACCCCCTTCGTGGACGGCAAGAGCCCCCTCCAAGCGTACTGCGAGGCGGAAGGCGTGACGGTAAAGCCCCTGCCCGACTCCGCCCCACGCCGGCCCCCGCCCGGCTGGCGCTCACCTTGTCTGTCATCTCTTTGCCTCTAGGACATCCTGGTCACAGAGCTGATGAAGAAGCTCGACATCCTGGGGGATAACGCCGTAAGTGTATGTTGCTCTCCTGACTTGTGCATGCCTCCCCATGCAACCACCCCAAGGTCCCAGCCCCTCCGTGGTCCAGGGCCCCGTGAGTCCCACTGCGGTCCTGCCACAGGCCGCCCTACCTGCGCCCTCGCCCCCCTCCTAGGCTAGGGTCTCTTGGGAGGGGCCCAGCATTTGGGAGAAGTTCCATTCCTTCCTCCCATTGTTCCTGCACCATCTGGGTGGCCACCAGCACCGGGAAGCACGGCGTCCGGGGCTACTGCTCTGCTAGGGAGGGAAAGCCTCTGCTGTGCACACCCCAGATCTTCCAGCAGAGACACTGCTGGCCTCGTGTGCTCGGTTTCTGGAATCCCTCTCAGCCGTTAAGCTCTTCCATCCCCTCAGCGGGGATGGGGGCTGTGGCTCCTTGGAGTAGCTTAGACATTCCAGACTCCTAGGGGTTCCCACTTCCTTAGTTTTGGAGGAGGGGCAGAACCTATAAATAATCTCCAAATCTCATTTGAGGCGGAGTTCCAATTTCTACAGCAAACTCCTTGAAAGAATGTTAATTACTGAGTGGGCAAAGTGACTGACCCCTTCATCTCATCCTCCCTCCTCTGTCCTTCCATCCTCCATCCACCCATCCACCTCCCATCCATCCATCTCCATCCTCCATGACCCATCCATCCTCCATCCTCTATCCATCCGTCCTCCATCCACCCATCCATCTCCATCCTCCATGACCCATCCATCCTCCATCCACCCATCCATCTCCATCCTCCATGACCCATCCATCCTCCATCCTCTATCCATCCATCCTCCATCCACCCATCCATCTCCATCCTCCATGACCCATCCATCCTCCATCCACCCATCCATCTCCATCCTCCATGACCCATCCATCCTCCATCCTCTATCCATCCATCCATCTCCATCCTCCATGACCCATCCATCCTCCATCCTCTGTCCATCCGCCATCTGTCCATCCTCCATCCGCCCTCCATCCATCATCCTGCACTTCTTGAGCCCCTCCCTGTCCAACAGAGGGCTCAACTGCTCTGGAAGGCGGCCCCACTCCACACCCTAGAACTTTTCCCCTCAAGGTATACTAACAAATGCACAGTCTACGGCTGGCCATAAGGCGCCTTTGGCTCCCCATCCTGGTCCCTGTTCTCGACAAAGAGCCAGGCACTTAGTCAAATTCATGCACTTCGTGCAATAGGTGGAGAAAAAAGGGAAACAAATGCATGCAAACACACACACACACGTGTTCTCACTCATGTTCTCACTAACACAGGCTCTCAGTCACACATACGTTCTCACACACATTCTCAGTCACACACATGTTCTCACTCACACACGTTCTTACACATGTTCTTGCTCAGTCACACACGTTCTCATTCACATGTTCTCACTCACTCTCACACAAGTTCTCACTCACACATGTTCTCGTGCACAGTTGTCACTCACACACATGTCCTCATGCACACGTTCTCACTCACGCACATGTTCTCACTCACCCACATTCTCACTCACACTTTCTTACACATCTTCCCACTCAAACACACACATTTTCACTCTCACACAAGTTCTCACTCACACACGCGTTCTCACTCACACATACATTCTCACACACATTTTCAGTCACACACACATGTTCTCACTCACACTTGTTCTCTCACACATTCTCACACATTGTCAGTCACACACACGTTCTCATTGACACACGTTCTCACTCACTCACATGTTTTCATTCACACACACCTTTTCTCACACAAGTTTTCACTTACACACATGTGCTTATTCATACACACACCCCCCCAAAGCCCAGGTGCTCAGGCACATGCTCGGGGCCAGCTGTTCTTCCCGGCAGCCGCGGGGTGCTTGGGGCCCTGTGTTGACAGGAACCCTCTCCCCTCACCTGCCCTTCACCTGGGAAGCCATGCGGAGCAGAGGCAGAGAGGAGCCCCAGTGGGGAGGCCTCGGGCTGTCTCTGCCCCCTCACTCAGGCCTGGGATCTGTCTCGGCTGCAGACAGCGCAGGCACTAGCCCCCAGCAGGGATGGCTGTTGTTGAGCATGCGCTGGGGTCCAGTGCTGGGTATTAGACCCTGTCATGGGTTCTTGGGAACCGTATTGATTAACCTTCCTATTCACAGCTGGAGAAACTGAGGCCCCTGAGGTGACCCACCAGGTCCCAGAGCTGTCCTAGCGGCAGAGGCAGGATGAGCCCAGCTCCACCCAGTCCTGCTCAGGGCTCCTCCCCACCCTGTAGCTGCCCGCCCAAGAGCAGCAGTGAGCGTGGCTTCCATGGAGCCCGTGTGCAGCCTCAGAGCACAGGGGCAGAGGCGGCTGAGGACTGGAGGACACACTGCTGGGTTTCACACTCAAGAGACCCTGTGGGCACCCTTGGCAGTTCCTGCCAATGGGCCAGGGGGGTGTCTCTTCAGGTCTCTGTGGTCAGAGTTGAGCATACGGGCACACTTCAGGCAGATGACAGGGACAGCCTGGCCCCCGTCACCTTCACATTCAGGATGTGCTAGTGCTGTGGCCCCCGTCCCCAGACCACCCCAGAGAAAGCTGCAGCCTCCAGACTGGCCGTGTGAGCGCCTGAGCCCCAGACCTCGGTTCCCTCAGGAGTCAGGGCCTTGGGTGGAGCAGAGAGGCTGGCGGGGGCAGGACGCATGCCCGTCCTCCCTGGTGGGCAGTGTGCTCACCTGCTGCGCCTGGCCTGCAGAGGGGCGGGTCTCCTGGGGAAGGAAGAGCAGGGGCTGTGAGGGCGGAGCAGATGGCACTTTGCCGAAGCTGGGGCATCAGGACGTGGTCACCTCCAGGAGGGGTCAGGAGGAGCCCAGCGAGGCTGCTCACCAGGTAGGACGTCGCCAGTCCTTCGGCCTGGTCTAATCATGTCCAGGTAGATCCCTCCCTCACACTGAAGCCGCTTGCTCAGCCAGGTCCTGACTCCCCATCCTGGCCCTCAGACCAGCCCTACCCTGGGAGGAGGGAGCAGTGTGGGCAGCCTGGCTGGGTTCCCCGGGAGCAGGAGGGATGAGGGGCACTTGGCCCCAGCCCCACACCAGCCGGAATGCACATGCCCTGAGGACAGAGCCTACCTCTGTGCCTACAAAGGTTGGTCATTGGCCCCACCCTGTGCTGACTGCATGGGGTGGGGTCGACAAGAGACTCTGCCCTCGGGGAGCTCACATTCCAGAGGGCAAGAGACATAGACAGGGCTTTCCCAGTGGACCCTGAATCAGGGCAGCTCTAGGGTGTGGAGTGGGGCCACCCTCTTCCGGGGCACAGTGATCCCGGCAGACTCCTTGCTGCTCCAGCTTCTGTTCCCCGTGCTCTCCCCGCCCCGCTCCTGGCTGTCCACAAGGTGGGGCCCAGCAGTGGGGACAGCCTAGCTCCCGCCCTGCTACTGATGCAGGTGGCCGTCAGGATCTGAGTGGGTGAAGTGCCCACATCCTCCGAGGATGCTCGTTTGGCCCCAAAGCCAGACCCAGCCTGCCCAGAGCAACCACCCAGGTGGGCATCTTGGGACAAGGCATGAGTAAGATGTAGAAAAAAAAGACAAACCCCCTGGAATTGGAACTATTCCACAGCCATGGATATTTGATCTTCGCTCTACATTCATAAGTGGTGTTTTAGTAACTCACGGCTGCATATGCAGCGAGCTGACTTTAAACAAAGATGGACACAGAGACAGAGAGTGGGGATGTATTTATCACTGCCCGCCTGCTTGTTACATCGTTAGTGTCGGCGAGAGGACAAGAGGGGACCAGGAGAGGGTGCACCTCGAGTGAACAGGGTCAAGAGTAGGGGGTGTCAGACTTGGGACAGGGTTTTAGTAAAATTGACTTTTAACTGTGACCCCAGCTCCCTCATGCCTGTCCCATCAGCCCTATACCTAGTACCCATAACTCAGCCCCTCCACCAAGCACCCATCATTTACCCCCACTGCCGTGCCCCCATCATTCAGTCCCACCACCGAGCACCCATCATTCAGCCCCACCACCAAGCACCCATCATTTACCCCCACTGCCGTGCACCCATCATTCAGTCCTACCACCAAGCACCCATCATTCAGCCCCACCACCCAGTACCCATCATTCAGTCCCACCACCAAGCACCCATCATTCAGCCTGGCCGCCCTGAAGGCATTGCCCCTGACTATATGTGTATTCTGCTTTTGGGTGCAGAATCTGACCAATGAGGAGCAAGTAGTCATCATACAAGCCAGGACGGTCCTAACCTTGGCTGAAAAGGTAACAGTGACTGCGTGGATGCTTTTGGGAGAGGGTCCAGCTCCCTGCAGGTCTCCCTTTCCGTGCTCAGCTCAGAGAAGATGCTCTCCCTGGGAGGAGGGGCCATGGGGAGCAGGGGGTCCACTAATCCTGTCTGCCGTGGGAGGTCTGGTACAGGCAGAGGTCAAAATACCCACCACGCATGTTTGCAAATGACAGATTCAGCCAGAACTTGCCCTAAGGCCAACTCTGCCTGGGTTTACTCCCAAAGCCAGGAGATGTGGTGGGTCTGTAAAACTGTCATTATTCTGTTTGACCTGTCAGGACCCTTCCCTGGGCGTCCCCCAACCCACCTGGGCTCCCCCGCCCCCAAGCTTCCCTGCTTCCAGGGCTGCCAGGCTGCTCCTGGTCCCACCCCCATAGCCAGAACCTGCTGTCAGCACTCCCTCCTGTGGTCCTCCAGCAGGAAGTGGAAGGGGTGTTCCAGTGAATGGGGCTTCAGGGAGGGGACTGAGAGAGAACAGGCTGCCCTCCCAGTATCTCCTGGCAGAGCTCTCAGGTGCAGCTGCCCCCGCTGCCCCCCAGCTAATGACCCTCCCCTCCCTGGGGAAGGGTGGGGGACAGACTTCCTGGATGCCAGGCAGGGTGTGGGGTGGAACCTGGACCTGGCCTGCACGCTGGGCACACGGAGCTCACGATGCCATCCCAGCCCTGACTCCCAGCAAGGGCTGAGCTCTCGCCCACTGGAGGAAGAGTGGGAAGGGTGGAGAGGGGCCAGGCCTCCCTCCCTCCTCTCCCAGGCTGTCTCCATGGATGGCTTTGGTGCCTGTGTGGTGACCTGAGAGGTCACAGTCGCCTGCTCTTCCTGTGTGTGTCCAGTGGCTCCAGCAGATTGAAGAGACGGAGTCAGCTCTGCAGCGGAAGATGGTGGACCTGGAGAGCGAGAAGGTAGGTGGGCATCTCGCCACGCGGCCCTGCATCACCGCGTCACCCGGTCCGGCACCCGAGGCCGAGACGTGGGTCCTCTTGTGTTTCAGGAGCTGTTCAGTAAACAGAAGGGCTACCTGGATGAGGAGCTGGACTACAGGAAGCAGTCCTTGGACCAAGCTCACAAAGTAAGAGAAATACAGTTGCCGGAACCCCCGAGGGGGTGGGGGCTTTGGGGTAGAAACAGGGAAAGTTGTTCACACGTTCAGTGGTGTGTCTCGGGGGCTGTGTGGGCTGGGCCTCAGACCCCCGCCCGGGAAGAGCCTGGGCCCTGCGTGACTGGTGTGGGGTCACTCTCTGCATTTCTCCCTCTGGAGACGCCCGGCTTGGTGAGCTCACAGGAGGCCTTACCGCCCCGTCTGCAAACCCTTTTCCCTGTGAATGCAGGCACACGAGCAGAACTCAATCGGATATTTGAAATGAGTTGAGAAAATAGAATTCATTGAAAACTATGCATTTACGAATTAAGTGAACGCAGTTGAGTGTAAGCAACACTCGAGAAAAGCCAGTCCGCCCGTCCTTTGCACATCTGCTTCCCCACGGGGCGGTTTCCCCCCAGTCAACCTAAGGGCTGTCCCCACGCGGGGTGAACGCTGAGATCTAGAGGACCTGTAGCCATCACCTCTGTCTGTGAGTCAGTCCTCACTGAGGTTGTTTGAGACCCCGAACAGAAACTTCACTTGAACTTCAGGCAGCCTTTCCATGTCAAGGGGTGACCCCAAATCAAGGACTGTGTCGTAGCTCCTCAGACGAGCTCGGCAGAGGCACCTGCTGGGGGCTTCCCAGGGGAGCGAGGCCCGTGCTGCCTTTCTGGCCATCGGTTACACCTGTAAATTAACGTCCCCTGGAGAACGGTCCTTCCTGCCTGGGTGTGCCTTTGTCTCCCCCCAGACTGTGAATCCTTGAAGTTAGAGCACATTGTCGCTCCAGTTCAGGATAAGCCGTCGAGTGGCCCACACGAGGGAGCCCGAGGATTGGCCAACAGCAGGCGTGGGGTCTGGAATTTGCCCCACCGCCAGCTGGGCAGCCTGCCCCCGTGACTCGGCCCCTTGTGGATAGTATAAGATTGTCACAACGGTGTGTTCAGTGGCAGCTGTTGCTGCCCGGCTCGGAAGCTGGCAGCTGGATGCTTCTTTGTGCCCATCAGAGGGCGGACGGGCTTCCTGAGGGTCAGGGCAGTGCTCCCTCTGCTGGGTGATGATGGTGAGGATGGCCCACTGACCTGCCAGTCCTTGTCTGACGCCTGCAGGAGCAGCCACAGAGGAGGTGGCCTCAGGGAGAGCTGAATCGGCACAGATGGACCTCCTCAGAAATACGTGCTGAGGCCCGTGTTTCCAGTTCACTCAGGTGCCGGGTGTTCACAGTATGTGGGGGCAGCCAGGCAGCTCCGAGCCCCTGCACTGCTGCTGCCTGTGCTCTGCTCCTGCGTCCTGGGCACGCTCCGGGAGGAGGAAGCTTGCTGCTAGCACCCGGGCATTACCCTGGAGACAGCCGCACCACGGCAGTTTATTACATGACATCAGTGCGAAAAAGATGAGTCACTGAGATGGTGTCAGAGAGACGGCTTTATAACACAGATGTGTACACACACAGCCCTATACACTATAGAAATGCTAGAGAAACGTTGCCCAGGGGGAGCAGGTGGCTGGTCCTACCCTGCCTCACTGTGTGCGGCTGTTGGGGACACCTCCCTGGGTGATGACCATGGGGACTCGTCCCTGGGTGATGACTGTGGGGACACCTCCCTGGGTGATGACCATGGGGACCCGTCCCTGGGTGATGACCGTGGGGACCCGTCCCTGGGTGATGACCGTGGGGACCCGTCCCTGGGTGATGACCGTGGGGACCCATCCCTGGGTGATGACTGGGGGTCCGTTCCTCCCATTCCAACAGGAAAGACCCGAGTTTGGCCATCTCACTCTCGTTTCCTTATCGCTGTGCCAGCTCGCACTTTCCTCTGGACCATCAGCCGTCGAATCTGTCCTTCAGGAAACCCTGTGCAGGGGGTGGCACCTATTGGCCCGGGCTGCCCTGGGGGCTGCAGGCCTGTGGGCCCCTGCCGGGTTTCACACCCTCCCTGCTCTGTGAGCACAGAGCCACAGCTGGGCTTTGGAAGGTGAGGATGGTCCCTAGGTTGGGATCATGGCTGTCTGGGAAGCTGCCAGCAGACCTGCTGACCCGGACAGGCTGGGGAGAAGGGCGTGCACAGACAGTCCTGCAGGTGGCCCATCGCTTGTGCCCACGCGTGTGGGGAAGGTCGGGGACATCCCGGCTCCCAGGTTCCTGTGAAGCCATTGTGATGTTAATTCTAAGCCCCAAGCTCAGCCCGTTTATTTTTAAATGCTGGAGCTTATCTTAAACACACTAAGCTCTTTTGCTCTAAGAAGCGGCAGTTGACATGGGGTGTGAGCTGGTTGTGACAGCTGGGGACAGTTTATTTTGTGGCTGTCAAGAACAATAAAATGTAAGTGAGGTCCAAAAGTCTTTTTTTTTCCCCCTTTCCTAAAATGTCTACTAAGCCAAAGGACTTTTCTTAATCATTTTGCGTAAAGAAAAGGAAATGTTTATTTCTAAAGATATTACATTTTTTATGAGTTTCTGTAGTTTGAGAATTTGGTTTTTTCAAAGTGTATCAATAAAATCTTCCGAGGAAAAAGCTTTAAAAGTACTTCAGATCAAATTGCTAAATCCTTAGGAATTTATAACGAGGTATGTGTTTTGGCTGCTAAGTGATAGCAATGGGATCATTTTGCATCATTTTGCATGGTAGTTTCTGGGTCACGAATTGGATTTCTGGAAGGCAGCATAGGGGCCGAGCATGCCCTGCTCAGCTCTTCCCATCTCGCCGCGTCCCCGCACACGGCCCACCCCGGGCCCTCGCTGCCCGCCAGCTCCAGCCTCCCCTCAGTCCTGCCCGCCTCCTTCGGCATGGCCCCGACCTGGGGACTCCAGGGCCTGGCTCCCACTGAGCCTGGTCGGGCTCTCTGCCCCTCTCAGGTCTTCTCATGGGTAGGGGTTTGGGCTCTAGGCTCTTCCCCTGAGATCCGTGGTGAGCACTGTCCCCTGTCCTCCTTCTCTCTAGTTGGTGGGGAGCCCAGCCTCTGTGGCTCCTCCTGAAAGGCCTGGTTGGCACTCAGCCCCAAGCCGTCCACCAAACAAGGCCTGTGCGCAGAGCTCCTGAGGGCTCCGGAGCTGCTGGGTGGTGCAGCCGCCAGCGAGGTCAGCTGGTGGACCTGGGCGACCTCTCAGGGCTGGAGGCACCCCCCAGTCTGCACCCCAGGGCCAGGGTGGCGCCCAGCGTCTCTCCCACAGCTTCTGGTGACTGTCCCTCACTGGCCGTCCACTCCTCGGACCGACCTGTGGTGGGTCCGCGGGGTCTGTTTTCTGTGGGCACCGCTCTGGTGATCACCTCTGGAATTCTCGCTGACGTGAGTCTCTTCTCGTCACTCAGTTGACCACATGCCATTGACAGTGTCCTGGTTAAACGTCCGCCTGTCCTCCCACCCATCCCCCAACATCAGCTCCCTCTCAGGGCCTCCTGACAGCAGGAGAGGGAGAAGGGTCCGTTTGCTCGCCCCAAGAGGGAAAGTGCTCCGGCCCGAGGGCTGAGCTGGGCCGGCCTCGGACCTTTCACTGGGGGCATCAAGGCCCCAGAGCTCTGTTTCTTCTTGAATTAAGGTGATCAGCTGATTACTGCCTGTGATGTCTTACCTGATATCACAGATGATGTAATTATTTCATGAAATTTACCTGATTCAGTAAATGGCATCAATTTATGCTAGGTGTGAATGGTTCTAACACATCAGAAGCCTCTCCCGGTAGGGTTGTGTTCATTCATTTATCTGTCATTCAGTAGACATGTAGTGTCTGCTTACGAGTGGGCTCTGTGCTGGGACTGCATCGAGGAGGGCGACAGACCCCTCAGCCTGGCAGCAGAGGGAATTAACCAGCAGTCGAAAAGGAGGGCAGGATTGCTGTCAAAGGAGAGGGGCTCACAGGCAGAGCAGGTTGGGCCAGAGAGGTGGGTTCTGAAGGATGAAAAGGAGTTCGTCAGGCTCCAGGCAGAGGGACATCATGAGCACGGTCTGGGAGGCGTGGGGTGTCACACATGTTTGGGACCAGCAGCGTGGTGGGCTCGCCATGTTGGAGCCCCCACAGTGTGAGGACCGTGGACTCTGGAGTCCCCTGCAGGGTCCAGACCCCAGCTCTGCCCCCAGCAGGACCCTGTGCGAGTTGTTCACCCCAAGTTGTCTCATCAGCGTGACTCACTTTCCTTATCTGTGAACTGGACCTAATGAGAGCTCCTACTTCATGGAAGGGGCTGACGAACATCGCAGAGGTGAAGTCTTACCAGGTGCCGTGGCTGTGGGCATCCTCAGGCTTTTCATCCGGGAGAGTGGAGGTGATGAAGCTGGGAGACGGGCAGAGGCCAGGCACGTGGGGCCTTGACGCCAAGAAGAGGTGAGGGCGTGTTTGAGGCAGCAGGGAGCAGCCGAGAGACAGAACTGCCCCACAGCCAGGGGGCCAGAGTTGGAAATCCAGGTGTCTCTGAGGTTCCTTCTAGCCTCTTCCAGCTCCTGGTGGCTCCAGGCACTCCTTGATTTGTGGCCACATCACCCCAATTTCTGCCTCTGTCATCACATGACTTCTCCCCTAGTCTTCTGTGATGGTCTCCAAATTTCCCTCTTCTTCTAAGGACAGAAGTCACTGGATTAGGGCCCACATTAACCCAGCATGACCTCGTCCTAACTTGATTACATCTGCAGAGTCGTATATCCAAATAAGGCCACATCCATAGGTTCCGGAGTTAGGTCTTGAATGAATCTTTTTGGGGACACGATTCACCAGATGGAATTGAGCCCCACAGTGGCCTGGCCTTGGGGGGTGGCTGGGAAGTCAGGGACTTTCCCCCTTCTGTTATAACTTCAGACAAACCCTTGTGAGCGCGCCCTCCCTCCTTCGTTGGCACTCACAGACCCAGGGTGTGAGAAGGTTGTGGGCAAAGGGAGACGCCTTCCCTCTGTTCTTCCCTCAAGGGACCTCTGCCCACCCCACCCGCCCCTGCTGCCATCATCCTGTTCTGGTCTCAAATACCTGCTGACCACGTTTTCCCCGATGTTAACACGATGTAAGAATTCTGCCGCTGAACTTTCGTTGCAGGTTAAAAATCCCGTAGAAGGGAGTGATCTTGAAATAATTGCCCCGACCGTGTTTCCACTCTATAGAGCATCATTCAAGCTGGTGGAGAAGAAAACAGTCCCCTCTGTGGAGAGGCTTGGAGACGTTGTAACCCCGAGGGCTCTCGGGGTGCCCCAGGCCCCCCCTCAGGCCTGGCAGTCCCTCGGGGAGAAGGCGAGGACTAACTCTCCCCTCCTGCCCCCAGCACATCCTGGAGCTGGAAGCCATGCTGTACGACGCCTTGCAGCAGGAGGCCGGGGCCAAGGTGGCCCAGTTGCTGTCAGAGGAGGAGCGCGAGAAGCTTAAGGTGGCCGTGGAGCAGTGGAAGCGCCAGGTCATGAGCGAGCTGCGCGAGCGGGACGCCCAGATCCTGCGGGAGCGCATGGAGCTACTGCAGCTGGCGCAGCAGGTGTGGGGCCTGGGGGGCGCTGGGGGGGTTCAGGCCCGGCTTCCTGTGGCTGTGCTTTCCAATAACCACACACTGCAACCTCGGTGCCTGCCGGTGGCCATGCCCTCCCATGGCCGCGCCCCACCTGGCCCTCCTGGCTGACTGCAGCCTCTGCTGACCAGCCTCAAGGGTCATAACGCCCAGGTCTCTGGGCGCATGTCCTGTCTGCTGGGGTCCTGACTGCCCAGTCTCGTCCATGACTCTTCCCTCAATGGAAGGGCACAGTGAAGGCAGCATTCAGGAAGCGGCCCCTGGCCTTCTCTTGGCCTAGGGGCGCTTGGGGACCTCGGGTCAGTCCGGCCAGTCCATTTCTAACAGAAGGTGAGGCGCCCTGGCAGAGTGGACAGCCTTGGTGTGGAGGCATGTCTCCACCCCCTGTGCATGCCGCCATGACCTGGAGGGGCCTTTCCAGATGTGTCCACCCCAAATGCCAGACTCAACTTGCCAAGTCAGATAAACAAGTAAGGCAGGGTTTGCTGTGGATGTTAGTGGGCTGATGTCTGACCAGAGGATTAGTCAGCTCCCAGGACACCCACTGCCGGATCTGCGTCAGTCTGAGGACGGTGGTCATCAGACAGGCTGTGCTCAGAGCTTAGCTGGTTCCAGCATCCAGGCGCAGGATCCACACCCAGCGTGGACACACAAATTTGCATCTAATTAGCATTGCATTGCCTACCAAAGTGAAGACCGTGGGTTCAAAACGTGATGTCATTCTGCAAGGAAAGTCCCTGTGACTGGCTTTGTGACCTCCTGCTGCTTGTCACTTTGCTGTCATGGTGTTTAAGAAGGACTGAATTGATTCCGTACCATTCCCTTGGGCTGCTAGCATTGTGGCTCATGGGCTGAAGTTGCAGGAGGCGGGAGGGTATCGTTCCTGCCACGGGAGGTGTGGCCAGGGGGAGGGCTGTCCACTCTTCTGTTGGAGCAAAGCAGCAGATTGAGAAAGGCTATGTCTGTAAGGGAAACCGAGGCGAGCAAGCGCAGCCCTCTCCTTAGCCGAAGTCCACAGAGAGAGGACAGACCGAGGCTCCTGGGCCCCTCACGGTGCAGATAAGACTCAGACAGTGGTGAAAATGTGGTCAGCCACGGCTTCCCGGGCCCTGCCCACATGGCTGCTGCTCTGTGGCTGTGGGTCCAACAGGTGCATGAGTGAAGATTCAGACAGGCTTTTTCCCAAATGCTCTGGTTATTGAAGCTTTTCCTGCTTTTAACATTGCAGAGGATTAAAGAGTTAGAAGAAAGAATAGAAGCTCAGAAGAGACAAATAAAGGAACTGGAGGAAAAGGTAAAATGAATGCACATTTCTGGGCTTCTTTTGTTCTGGGAGCTTCCGTAAAGAGAAGGACGATAACTCCCCGGGTGTCATTTAGCGTGAGGTCTGAGATTGGGGCACGGTCAAACAGAACGAGGTTTCAGGGTGGCATCTGATCTGGACCAGGAGCTGGGAGCCAGCGTCTGGGAACACCACCTCTGCGATGACCCAGCCATGTGACCCCAGAGAGCCGTGTCTCTCTCAGCCTCAGTTTCCCCAGTGTGCCAGAGCAGCAACCTGGGGTCCCTTTAGTGCTGACGGCTGTGCTGGAGCACTTGAGTCCTCCTCCAAGCTCACCGAGTACCTTGGTCCAGAAGCCAGGTCCCTGAGCGCAGGGATTCTCCTCTTGAGGGCGGGCTGTCGGTGAACAAGGGTCTCTTAGCTTTGGTTCTTAAAGACATAGCTTCCAGGTTTAGGAAACTCCAGGTGCTGCCAGGTCGTTAGTTTGGGGCACTTGGTTCAGGCTCCAGGAGGACTGTCTGGCTCTTTTCCTGGACCCCTGGCTCTGTGAGGCGTGGGGTCCCGGGCACTCTGTCTACTCACGGCAACAGCCCGAGTTGGTGCTCCCCAAATCAAGGTGCACAGAGCGCGCCCGGAGAGAACCCGGCTCCTCCTAGGGGTTTTGCTTAGTTTTAGGGCAGCTCTTTTTATGTGATTTAGGGATGCTTCACTGGTCTCTAGGGGTCAGACTGTTCAGTTCTTTCGGCTGGTCCTGCCTGTGGGGTGGGTCTCACTCTATGACTGCCGCCCCCGAGCACTGAGTGAGGCAGCCAGTGGGATCCACCTCCCTGGCTCGTCCCTTCCAGAGAGAACAAGAGGCCCGTGTTTGGATGGGACCCCTGTGGGCTGCAGGTCCTCAGCCTGGCCCCAGGAACAGCCAGTGGAGGCAGGACATGAGGCTCCTCCCCGAGCTGTCCTCCTACAGCTGGTCCCACCGCCCACCTGCCCTGGCCACCCCCCATCAATGACAGCAGCCCACCTGCCCTGGGCCCTTGACTGCCAATCATCGCAGTAAACGTGCACATCCACTGTGCCGGTGCTTCTGTCCGGTGCCTAGAACCGTGCAGGGCACAACGTGCCGACCAGGACTTGCCTGCCCCGTGGGCGCCCGCCACCTGGGAAATAAGGAGGCTGGGAGGGGACACGCTGTTCTCGGGGCTCTGGCCTCACAGTGGGCACATTCTCTCCCCCCAGATGAATGTCTTTCTCCCTTTGCATCTTAAAGCGAGAGCATTTGTATTAAATACTAGAATTTTTTTTTTTTTCCTTTTTCTCCCCAAAGCCCCCGGTACATAGTTGTGTATTCTTCGTTGTGGGTTCCTCTAGTTGTGGCATGTGGGACGCTGCCTCAGCGTGGTCTGATGAGCAGTGCCATGTCCGCGCCCAGGATTCGAACTAACGAAACACTGGGCTGCCTGCAGCGGAGCGTGTGAACTTAACCACTCGGCCACGGGGCCAGCCCCAAATACTAGAATTTTTTAAATTGGGTGTTTATTCTTTTACTCTCACTAAAGCAACTCTGCATTTCCAATCAATTGTACCACTGCCAGATTTTCTCTTGTGTCTGAATTGGCCTGGTCCCCTTCCCCCCAACCCCAAATGAGGCTCCACATGTGAAGTCCATTCAGGATGGTGGTTGTGCTTTATCTTTTGTGATGGGACTGAGACCAAAACATTGTCTGGGAGCTCTCGTGTTTGCCTGGTGCTAGGAGTGTCTTTCCATGCACAAGACTTCCATCATTATTACTAGCCAGATAGTGGTCTCACCATCACCCGGAGACAGGTGCAGGTGGTTGGTCCCACCCTACAGAGGAAGAGGCGAGAGGCGATGTGACCAGCAGAGGCTCGCTTGTGCTGGGGACACTCTGGACGTGAGGCCTCCTGACCATTGCCCCTAGCCCAGCCTCTGGTTGGGGCAAGGTCCCCAGAATGTGTCTCTAGGCGGTGGCTTCAGAGCCAGGGCATCCTCACAGCCCCTGGCAGCACGCCCCTTAACCGCTGGGCGCCAGCACGCCAGGATTTGCCCCCGCTGGCAGCCCCGTCTTGCTCTGTCTGTGGTCACACGTTATTTCCTGCCAGAAGCCCTACCAACTCTCTTTTCTCTTTCTTTCCCTCCACGTCCCCACCCCCCCTTCCTTTTCAGTTTCTATTTCTGTTCTTATTTTTCTCCTTAGCCTTCATTCTGTGGTCATAGCTCTCCTGGGCACCCCGACGTGGTGAGTGTTTCATCAACTGGGTTTCCCAGCCGGGTCCCGCTCTGCTTCCCGGGGCACCAGGAGGGTCCCTGCACCGCCTGGGGAGCTGCTGCCTGCTGTTCTGGGAGGGGGCGACACCCAGGGCTCTCCAAGGGCTGTTCCAGAGCTGCCCGCAGCCTTCAGACCTCAGTGCCTGCCCGGGGTCAGGGTTCAGAGGGGTCGCCACAGTTAGAGGGGGCGAAGGGCGCTTGCCTTTCCTGAGAAGGAAGGAGGGCAGAGGACTGCCTCCCTCCCACAGGACCTGCCCCAGGAGGGGACATGTGCCTTCTGTTGACGCCTCCAGGCTCCTGCCTCTGGGGCGTCCCTGGAAGCTGTCTGGTGCAGCAGGACTTTCTGTCCTCTTTCTGGAGTTAGTATTGAGTACAAGCGTGGGTTACAGTGGACGTCTGGCCAGAAATGTCGAGGTTTCCCTCACACGCGGGGGAGAGGGCCCTCCCTGTGAGAGCGGTGATCATCCTTTCCCCGAGGCCCTCCTCCCTCCAGCCCCTTCCCTCTCGCCAGGCAGCCTCCCTGACGTGTGTCCTGCGTCTTTTTTCTTCCAGCCCCCAGAGCAGCTGGATCCCGTTCCTCCAGCTGGACCAGAGAGCAGGGGGTTCCCAGGCAGCCAGACGAGGTGCCCCGTCTCACCTCTGAAGATCCAAGAGGGTCTGGTCTCTGCGGACCCCCTCCTGACGAGGAAGAGGGAGAAAGGGGGGCTTTGAGCACCTCTGGGTGGGCAACTGCCCCCTTTGATGAGCCAGAATTAGAACTAGCTTTCTGACCGGGCCCCTCTGCAAGAGGCCTGGTCTTGGCTGCTGGACCCTGGGTCCCTCCTCGGACGCAGCCTCCATCCCAGCTACAGGGATGTGCGAGTTCCCTGCTGAGCAGGTGCAGAGAGCCGCTTCTGTGCAGGAGCGCAAGCGAACCCGGCCCTGGACTCACCTCTCGGTTCCCTCAGCTGCACCATGTGCCTCAGAGGAGGACTCTTGGAAACAGCGCGGGCACCCCACAAGATGACAGCACGGCAGCTGTGGCTGCAGGGGTGACCTTCGTTCAGGGAAACTGGATGGTTTGTCAGGGATGTCCTGAAGATGGTTTCCCCGTGACACCTCCGGTGGGCCACGGCGATGCTGTGACTCGCTCGCTCGCTCGGGTCCTGAGCACTTACTGATGGCCACGTCCCGATGCCCTCCCTTGATTGTGACTCCATCACTCCATGGGAACAGACGAGAGCGTGGCTGCTTCACTGCTCCATGCCGTCAACCCTCCGCCTCCTACCCTGCCCAAGACAGGAAGGCCAAAGTCGGGCCCTGAGCCACCACCAAGGAACGTCGTGGGACTGACCACAGGGAGGGTTAGGGACATGATAATAGGAGGTGGACGAGAGAGGGATGGGCCAACTGGAAAGGGGCCTGACCTTCTCAGAGATCGCAGAGGCCAGAGGCCACCTCTGGCAACGCAGCCCCCGACCCCACGGGGCCCTGGGCGCCCGGCACCCACAGCCCCGAGGCCCACGGCCGCAGGGGGCCAAGCGTGGCCGAGCTGCCCAGCCGGAGCTGCAGCCTTTGCACTCAAGGGGCAGTGCCCAGCGAGGGGCCAGCAGTGTCCCCGTGGTCCTGCAGATGTGAGAAGGGAGCCCGACGCCCAGGTGGCGAGCAGGTAAGACACTGCCATCCGTCCATCAGAGATGGAGCTTTCCCTCTGCCCTCTTCAGGGCCCTAGCCGGGTGCTGGCACTCCTCCTCCTCATGTGCTGGATTCCACCTCATCTAATTCCGCTTTGTCCAGTGTGGCCTGTTTAAAATGTGGTTCCATGTGCTGAGACCCTCCCCCGGGTGTCTATACGGGCGGGTGGGGAGAGGTGGGGTGGGTCACCTCCCACCTCCACCCCTAGACCAGAGGCGGCTCCCTGTGGGCGTCTGTCTGTGGGCTCCTCTCTGGCCCTTCACGTGCTGACCCCCTTGTGGGCCTCCTCAGCCCAGACCCAGGACAGTCCTCCTGAGGCCAGCTGAGCCCTCCCCAAGCCACCTGTGAACCTACCATGGAGACTGTCCTGGAGCCACCAGGACGGCCTCAGCTCCCTCTCAGCAGGGAAGAACTTTTCAAAGGCACTCGGCCATTTCCGCCAACACGGGCTCCAGCCGCTGCCAAGGCCATCGGCCTGCTCCACCCATGTCCCGTCTTGCTGGGCCCAGAAACTCCAGAAAGAGAACACTTCCTATCTTCTCTTGGGGAACACTCCCCCTCTGACCGGCTCCCAGCTCGGAGGGAGAGGCTTCCCTTACGGCCCCCTAAAGTCATGAGGGCCACCTCGCCCACATTGCCTCTCCTTCTGCCCCCAGGGCCCCCAGGTTGCCCACCCATGCATTCCCTGGGGAGGCAGGGCTCCCAGCAGGGAGGAGGATGGGGGGCGGGCACTCCATTGTTGAGCTTTTCTTTCCAAGCAGGATTTCCTAGTGGGGGGTGTTTCTGTGGGGTGTGGCGAGGCTCTGCAGGAGCTGAGCAGGTTCTGTTCTTTGGATCTGTAGGGTGGTAATGGTGGGCCCACGGGTGCCTCTCCTGCCCCTCCCCATCCACGAGCCTCCTATCCTCAAGCAGCAGAGCTGCAGGGGTCCCCCAGGAGCCACAGGGCCTGCAGGAAGGGAGCAAGAGCTGAGGCAGGCCGAGGTGGAGCGGGGAGGAGGGGAGAGGCCGCCTCTGCTGTTTTGCATTCTCTTCATTGCTCACGCAGCACATCTGGGCGCCTGCTCCTTTCAAGAGGCACATCTTGTGTGTGGTGGGCCTGATACAGGACCCCAGGCCCAGGCGGGATCTAGCCCCTGTGTCCCCCAGGGGTGCACAGCACAGCCTTGGGCTAGGAAGGTCACTCTAGAGGCTTATTCTAGAACCAACGAGAACCTACCTGGTCGCCCTCTGGTCCCAGAGACGCCCAAGGGCCATATGTGGGGTCGCCTTCCAGGACTTTCACCAGAGTCCCCAGGCTGTGCCCGATCGCACTCAGGAAAGTGCTGAACGCACCGCTGTTGCACTCCTAGTTGCTTGGCGGGGACATTCCACAGGCATGGCCTGGCCTCCAAGGTCACCTGTGTCAGCGTGAAGGACCATCAACGCTGTACGTCACAGCCGCCCACACCTGTGTGGAGGTGCACTGCCCAGAGTCCCCAGATAGGCCACCACGGTGGGCAGAGTTGCTTCTGCCTTGTCAGCATCATTCCTGGCAGCCTTCCCCGGTGAGCCTGCCTGTGGCCATTCTTGGCTCTACAGTGTGCGGGGCGGGGGAGACCTACCAGGATTTGGAAGGCCACTCCGTGGCCCCTGAGCCCTGAGCATGTCTCACCTGTGGAGGGGAGCCAGGGCCAGGTAAGGAGGGCTGGGAGCACGAGAGTGGGGCCGGGGGCGCTGGACAGGCACAGCCTCTCTGGGGCGAGGGCCCCTCCTACCACTCCCCGCCCCCCCATCCCTGGTGACCTTAGGACCCAACATGGATGGCCTGTTGTGCAGAGCCCTTTTGTGAGTGTGGAGACCCAGGGTGACTTGGACCAGCTCCTGTTCCCAGGGTGCTCCCATTGGGGCAGTCAGGGTGGAGGGCAGCGGGCATCACTGAGGCAGGCACAGAGCTGTACTCACGTCTCAGCTCAGGGCTGGCGAGGAGTGGTGGCACGTGCCAGGATGCGTTGCACAGCAGCCTCGTTGCCGGGGTCAGACCCTCTCAAAAGTTTTTGACACAAAGCCGCATGGGAGAAGCCCGTTTGCCCCTCCGCCCAGCTGCCGGCCTCCAGGAATCAGGCAGAGAGTTCTTGAACCCTGGCCAGAGTAGGAAAAAAAATGCGTGAAACAGCTGGCACCAAGCCGTCCTGTCACACCATGTAGAAATAGCAGCCCTGGGCGGTCAGTGAGGGACGTCCCTGCGGCCCGGTAACTCCCTGTAATGGGAGACTGACAGCTAAGACCACAGTGCCACTTTGAATTTGTCAGTCAAGTGGCAAGAGAACAGAGAGCCCCTGAGGCTGCCTGTGGGGAGGCAGTTTGGCACAGAGCTGGGGGCCGTCGGGCTACGGCCACAGCGGAACGGGACTCTGCTGACCCTTTCAGGGCCTCCCTCCCACCACATTCTAGCTGGTCCGTCTCCAGGGTGGGTTTGAGGACATCAGGAAAGACCTGCCATCTTAAGTTGCAGCCAGCAAGGGTCTTTTGTGCTGTCATCCCCCTCCCAGCCCAGGACCACCGACCCCATCGCCCGTGGAGAGCAAGGAGCCCCTGTCACTGGGAGCAACAGTCAGGGCTGTGGGGCTTTCTCTACGCTGCGGGCGTCTTTGTGAACCGCTGCTTCACGCACCCACTGCGGCAGTACCTGCGATACGGGAGCCACCGTGCTTCCACGTCAAGCATTTAAAAATTTTTAAAACTTTTATTATGAAATAATTTTAGATTTAAAGAAAAGTTGCAAAAATAGTATAAAGTTCTCATAGACTCTTCCCCAGCTTCCCCTGGTCTCGTATCTTGCATAATCATCGCACACTTTCGAAACTCCCCCAGTCCACAGGCTTCACTCAGATCCCACCAGTTTTTCTACTGGCAGATGTCCTGTTTCTGTTCCAGGATCCCACACTGCACTTAGTCATCCGTTTCCCTGGTCCCTCCCGGTCCGTGACAGTTTCCCAGCTTCTCCTCGTCCTTCTTGACCTTGACACTAACAGGAACTGGTCAGTCACTGGGTGGCCTGTCCTTCGGTCGGATGTGTCTGGTGTTTTCTCATGATCAGGTTGAGGCTGTGCGTCTTTGTCGAGATGACCCCAGGAGCAGCGCGTCCTTCTGAGTGTGTCCTATCCGGGCCGCACAGTGTCGCAACGTTTTATCACAGGCGATGTTAGCTTTGGTCACCAGGTTGAGGCGGCGCCTGCAAGCTCTCCACAAAAAGGTGTCGTTTGTAATTAGTAAATACCTTGGGGAAGATACTCTGAGACCATGCAAATAGCCTGTTTCTCCTTGAGCTTTGTCCACTCGTGTTAGCAGCCATCCGCGGGTCTTTCCTGCGACCGTGATCGCTGTCCTGTTCTAGCGGTGACGTTCTACTCCCCACATTTCTTCTGTTCTATTAGAATTTTTCTTTCATTTCTTTCTTTATCCAGTTATTTATATCAGTAAGGACTCATGGATATTTAATTTATTTTATGGGTTTTAATCCAACACCATCATTAATTATTTTCTTGATGTAATTGTCCCAGCTTAAGCCCCTGAGCCTTCTTTCCCATTAGCTCCTGTGTCCTTTTGACATGCCCTCTTCCATTTTTTTGAGCACTTTCTTGCTTTCTGTCACCACAGGTTTCTCAAGGTCATCTTGCACTTTCCCCACCCCAGGCCTGAAATCAGCCCCTTCTCCAAGGAGCCTGGTTCCTCTGCTTGGAAAGTGGGGCTTAGGACCAGCCTCTCTGGGGGCTGGGTGTGCTCATTGCTGCCGGGTGACATTAGAGGCCCAGCTGGGAAATGTACGTCTGTGTGCTAACACGTGCTGGCCCATGCTGCTTTGTTTATTTCTGCATCCATCTAGTTATCATCTATCAATCATCTATTTATCGTCTGTCTATCAATCCTTTATCTATCGTCTATCTACCATCCATTCCATCTATCTATCTGGCTATCTATCTATCACGTGTCTCTTGTGAAACTGTGAGTCCAGAAGGACCCCTGAGTTCTGGGCTGACAACGCGAGCTTCACTCCAGCCTTCCCGTGTTCGCCTTTCTTTGGCAGCGTGGAGACGTGCCTCTCCCTGTCCACACTACACATTCTTACTTGCTCACCCCTGGTATCCACACAGAGTAGTTTCAGAATCGCTGAGCCACATGCCCTGTGAGGAACAACACACAACCTGGGTACCTTTGTGTGCATTTCCTTTTATCTTCAGCCTCAGAGTGTCCAGTCAAAACACTCTTCCAGAACAACTCGGATTGGTGCTGCTGTTTCCCGCCCCCTCCGGTAGGTTCGTTGGTTACAGCTTGGGTTCCATATGGACTGCCCGCACAGATTGTTTTTTTTTTTTAATTCACACACAGTAAAGTTCACGGTTTGTGGTGCCCAGTTCTCTGGATTTTGATACAGGCATGAGTCCACCACCGTCACCACATGGGACGGTGTCCTCGCCCCCAACTCCCTCTTGTCGCCCTTTGTGGTCACCCCACCCTCTACCCCCTGGCCACGCTGGTCTGTTTCCCTGGATTTCTGAGTCATGTAAGTGGAACAGCCAATGTGTACACAGAACATGTAGCTTGGGGGTTTGGCTTTGTTCGCTTAGCAAAGTGCACGGAAGATTCTCTCTGTTTCTGTGGTTCGCTCCTTTTGTTGCTGAGTCGTTTCTGTTGCATGGGCGTGCCACAGTTTACCCAGTCTCAAAGGACATCTGCTTGTTTCTCATTCGTGAGTGCAACTGCCATAAACCTTCATGTACAGGTTTTTGTATAAATACAAGTTTTCATTTCTCTTGGGTAAATACCCAGGATTGGTAAGTGTGTGTTAATTTTATAAGAAACTGTTGTCCAAAGCGTCTGTACATTTTGCATTCCCACCAGCCATGTATGACTGTTCCCGTTGCTCTGCATCCTCACCGATATTTGATAGGGTCTGTCTTTTTTTTTTTTTTTTTTTGAGGAAGATTAGTCCTGAGC